GTCCATTAAAGTGCTTTTGTTATTAGTGTTTTATTCATGCGTGCATGCTGAACCCAGCTTTACACACCTGTCAGAATGACTCAGATGGGAGACAGAATGTCTGGGTATAAAAGTCAACTCTTCTGGTCTTTGAAACATTAGTACCTTCGGTTTCTACTCCAATCGACATTTGAGTGGTGAAATAATGTATTCCTCACATTTGTTGCCAAATCCTTCACAACAGGCCTTAGAGGAGCCTGCATGTCTGTGAGGATGGAATATTGTACCCTGGATGCCCCTGATAATGCCTCCACCGCTTTCTATAGCCGTTAAACATTTACCACCATAACTTGGGTCTCATTCATCATGTATTTTATTCTCATTTTCTGAAACTTAAGAAGAGTTTGAGAAACTTGAGTATTTGTCATGTTTTAATGATGTGTGGGCTTCTCTTTGTCTTAATTCTAATTCCAAAGCGAATGAAATTTGAACATTGTTCTTATGTACCTTTATGGCTAGAGATGCCATTCTTACAGAGTGTTTCCTGAGAGTCAGTGAGAGTGCTGGCAAGGATGTAGGCTTTATCTAGCAACTATGACACTGGATTGTTCACCTGACAAAAAGTGACTGATGCTGGTATTAGAAAGCTATAACTTCCATGCAATGGTGCAGAAGGTGAAGAACACTTAATGCTCACACGGAAGACAACGGGCTTACTGAGAGGTGCACTTTAGCAGTTTTTTTATCTGGGCTTGAGCTCTCTGTATTCCTTGACTGAGCGAAGTTGTCATGTCTACCACTTACCTCCTGGCATGAAATACTGTGGACATGAAATAATGTCGTTTGACCAATCTTACTACATGTATTTCAGGTAGATAAATTGTCAAAACTTTAAGTAACTTTATATGGACAACTCTAAACTTAAAAAACCTTTGGAACACTGGATACATAATACATGTATGCCATAGATTCTGAACCTTTTACCTGGCCAAAAATTTACAATTTTGATCTTGAAGGTTTTTTTTTTTCAGGAATGATGTACAATACACGTTCTATACAGATTGGCCAACAACTGAATCTGAGAGTACCATATGAAGTAGCCATACTTGTATGTTGGCTATGTCTTCCTGTACATTTATTGCATTTACAAGAACAATAAAAGGGTTCAAGCCAGTTTAAGGTAAGGAGATTTTACATTGCGTAAAATAGGACAATCTGTTAAAACATTACAGTGAGTGAGGTCAATTTTGGATGGTCTTGGTTGTAATAAAGGCCAGATTGTACAACCTCTCAAGGATATATTTAAGCACGGTGGTGTTTTCCTGGCTTATACCTGAGGTATTGAAAGCCTTTCTGCTATTGGACTCCTGCCTGGGGCTGTGCACTCTCGTTAAGGCTGTATCCACGTTGTGACCTATGTTTTATTGGCCATGCTGCCTTCAAGGTCAGATGGACTGATCCTTATAAGACTAATCGAAGGGGAGAGGTGCAAATGATTTGTGTGTTGTTTTTATGTCATTTTTGAGTAAATGAAACAGCTCAACAATAAATGATGATTTTTTTAATGTACAAATTTGTTTTGTCAAATACTTCCTGATGAGAAGCAAACTTCCATTGTAGTTGTATTTGTAAATGTGAGCAACTATCAACATGTAAAAGATTGCAGGATGTCGACAGAACATGTCCACTGCGACTGTGAGACACCCGTAATGTACATTTATTGTGCATAGCACTTCAGCAGAACATCTCGTTTAAGGTCATATTCGTGCCATGCAGTGTATAGTTTTCAAATTTTGTGTCAGAAAAGGTATCGTCTGGAATAGGCAACACTCTGATCCAACGAATCATGAGAAATCCAGGTTTCGCACAGACGTCAAAAGTTGCTGACATCAGGATTTCAACATATACATACACATGTAGTACAGAGCAGGATATTTTCATGCTATCGTCCTGATTTGTATAATTACCTGGTAGGTCAATCCTCACAGGTGCCTCTTATCCATATTGAAATCATGTACAAGACCCTTTTTAGGACGACTCTTGACTTAAGCCATCAATGGTTAGCCACTTAGATTATATAAGTTGAAAATCAATATTGGCAAATCTTCCCTGGCCTAGAAAGGAAGGAAAGATTACGGGCCACCACCGCAAATTATGCAGGCTGCTTCTCCTGGCAAAGGGAGGGATCAGAGTGTTAAAAGTGGTATAATCTCATTTTGTTGGGGAGAATTACTGATTCTCTTTTTTCATGAGCAATGAGCAACTTGGTTGGAAATACAGTACTACTGTTTGAATTTACTTCTAAGAATATAATACAGGTACATGCATTTGTGGATGGAGAGGTATTGATAAAGATTTCCCTTTTTATTTTGAGGAATAACTTTACATTTTTCATGGATGTTTGTATGAAATACACCATTTGACATTCAATTTGCCTACAATACAAGTTGGCCTCACTGAAATGGGGGAGGAAGGGAGGGTGAATGCCTTCACAATGTTTTATTCTTTAGAACTACAATTTGCCCACAACGAAATGACACCTGCTCCAAGTGTCTGTAGCAAAATGCCTTTTTAGAAGGCATGAAGAAACATTACGAGGGTCTGCGAGCTGTCAGGTATGATAGATTCACAGAAGCAATATCCTAAATGGACTGCGGTAACGCTGCGCCGACAGGGACACGGGTCTGGAAGGGGAGATAGCAGCCATCTTGAATAGATCTGCCTATCGCTTTGTGATGGTCCCGCTGGATCAATGAAAAGAAAGGGTTTCTGGGGCTATTATACATTTAGCTCAGGAGAAGTATCCAGATTTATTGCCGATATGCTGATGCCCGTGAGCAGAAAGAGCTGGAAATTTTTCTCCTAAGTCATGAGTTTTTACAGATTTATGTATCATAAAAGTGAGTTAGTCTATTGTACCTCCGGCATATTCCAGTTGTTAACTTTAATGACGATATACATGTTAACACTGTACATAATAACACACACTATGGCAAATTAGTGCTTGACTTATGGGGTGATTTTTATTTGCGAAGGATGTTCGTAACATTATGAGCATCAGGTTATGACTTAAAGCAAAGGATTTACAACCCACGCTGTAAGGCCCGAGTTTTATGTCTAGTTGGAAAGTTCAAAACAACAAAGATGTAAATAAAGACTGTAAAGAATGATCCCGTGGCTTACAAATAGGTCACCTTTCGTCTGAAGTTTATACCAGTCATCACTTTTTCTGGAGAATTCTTGTAGAACAAGGTACTACTCTGTTGTTCCATATTCATGTAGGACTGACTGATCATAAGTCGTGGTGATGCCAGATTCAGGTCACACCTGTGCATGTAATATGTGGAGGGTGAAGTTGGATTAGGAGGGAGGAGGGTCCAGAATTTTGGGACAGGTAGCGAATTCTGATATCCTATACCATGCCCAGGTTTTACGTAAGAAACATTTTTTTACACGGTTGAAGAAAGAATGTTATAATTAATGGGTAACGTTAAGGAAAAATCAGATATGCCGTTTCTTAGTCTGAATTTTTTAGGACAAGGAATCAGATGAGTTGTGCAAGGAATGATATATTTCTGTTAATTTTTTCTGGATATTGAGTAATCAACAGTTTGGTAATTGAGCTGAACTGTCAGTTTTGAAATACCTGTCAGAGAAGTACATGTAGTCGTAGTGGTAATTCCTACACAGCTGCAGTGTTGCTTTCCTTTTTACTATTCTATACAGTGCCTAGAAGCAATTTGCTTCACTGAAGAATTATGTCTCAGTGCTGTATCCCAAGCTGTATCTTACTCAAGTCCAAGTGATTTAGTTTTCCTGAGGGAATACGCAGTGAAAGAAATGAAATTTCTCAAAGTAACAGTGTACACATAATCTGTTTACCCAGATTGAAAGAATACAGCATTATGTTTTTTAGGTCAGAGCTTGTACTGCGTGTATTCATCTCTGTCGGTGTGACACTGTTCGACATCCATTTATTCTGTCTACATCTGATAATGCTACTTCTGAAGAAGCTGGGCTAACAAAGTCGTAAAAAGACATGAAGAAAAGTAATCTCATATATTTCCTCCCTCGGAGACCATAGGAAATTGACACAGGTCAGGTCAGGTTATGAAAATATAAATCTTTGAGAAGTAGGAGAAAGAAATTCATTGGTTATTTTAAAAGAGCTACGGCCAGTGAACCAAGTTACAGATGGTCACAATAAGCTTGCAAATTACGTTTTTTAGAGAGTGATTTAAAAGTCAATGATTGACTTTTGGTGAAAGCTACTGATGTAATTTGTAGGAAAGAACACCTGGCCTCTTGTTAGAAGTGAACTTTTGTCAGCATTAGACAAGGCTGCAAGTCTTCAATTAAAGGAACAAGCCTACCCCAGCACATTCTCACATGTGTTTCAGCTGGCAAACTACAGCAGACCATTGTGCCCATGGCTATCGCCAAATCAATCTGGCCGATCTTGCACAGTGTGTGGGCTAGCCTTGGAGGCCTCATGCACATTAATAAGTCTTGTTGGAGAACACTTTACTTGTCAGGAGGAATGATGATAAATAAGGGGTCTATGCCTGACATTTAAGAACAGGCTCTTGGATGGAATACTTAAGTCTCTTAAGATACCTTCTGCGCATAAATGTTGATTGGGAATACAAAATTCCACATCTTTTATTAAGTGATAACATTTCAGCATCATTTGGTACCTGTTATTGTACGTGTCAGTCCCCCACAATCACACACACAGAATCAATTTTTTTGCGTTCAGTTCAGCTGTTACTATTCTATTATTATCGGTGACAAATTAACGGACAAATTGGGGATTAAGGAAAGATGCATGGATGAATGACAATGAATGAATGAATGAATGAATGAATGAATGAATGAATGAATGAATGAACTAACATTATACCTTGCATCATAAACTTTACTGAGGATCGAGGTGTTGTAATTTTCTCAATTATGTGTAAAAGTGGAGAAAAATATTTCTCTAACCATTCTGACTGTTGCTCTTCTTATTTCAAACACAGGGTCCAGATTCGTGTCCTCAGATTCTGCCCTCAGAAGAAGAGACGTTAATCCCAGAAGGAGTCACCACGGAGATTGTTTTGAAGGCAGCCAATCTTCCCATTCCAAAGGTGAACATTACTTATTTTTACATTCTTACAACTATTTATGCATAAAATGGTTAAAACACACTTTAACACAGTAACACAACTCCTCTGTAATTAATTGCATTGCATGTAATATACTGTGCATTTCCAGCACTACTATATTTTCCTGCCCTAGGTACATGTATGAAATAAAGTTGCTAGTTTTCCAAAGTTCTCAGCAAGTCCTGGCTCGGGGTAGTTTTAACAAATGTACAGATCAATATAACTTCATCTAAAGCATGCTGCTGAATTTATCAATGTAGTATGGGCGAGGTCCAGTGTTGATTGAATCAGGTAATTGCAATTTGTTACGATATTGTGTCGCTGATCACCCAGATCCCCCCCTCCCCCTGTAAATCAACCCTCCGTGCGAAACGTTCGCGGAGACCTCTGTGATTCATTGTTCGCAGCGACTTAAATCTGGAGATGTTGATCAGCGGGGACATTTGGGAGCAGTGAAACGTACGGTTACGCCGTCTTCCAGCTTCATTAACATTCAAGTCTTCGGTATGGAAAGCTCTGCAGACGCTCACCATATCCCTCTTCATCAGTGTTATCTTCATACATTACACAAGGTTGCCATAACGCACTCATATTGGGGTCAGGAAGGGTTTGCATGGAAGCAACAAGATTGTTCATCAGATTCATCAAGAGTTGTGTTATTCCAGAAAGTTTTCAAAACTACTACACACAAACTCTGGATGTGAAGATAACTTTCTTTATCAGGTTACTTCAAGTATCGCCTACTATAGGTTTACTTTGAAACCGCAGCTATTGATTGGTTGTGATACCTCGCTGTATGAGGCTTTCCTTCCAAGAAAGGAAAGATCAGCCAACTTGGAATGTCAATATGCATCCACAATAACATTCATCATTTATTCTTCTCAAGAAAGTGTTGCCTCCAGACTAACCTAATCTGGTATATTCTGTCAATTTGTGGATGCGAGAACACTTGTGATTAATGTATCTAAAGGTTTATCGGATTCAAATGTGCACAATGGAGCGTTGGGGAACTTGCCAGCACTTGATTTGATCATATATTTCCAATATTTCTGTGGATTCCCGGGCCCCTGCATTTCTCCTGTTTTAAGAACGGATTAATCTTTGTCTGTGTCAACTTTAGGACAGATCCCTGAGTTTTACCCCAGAAATTCATGCCGTGTCAGAGATTAAAGAAGCTGTCCTGTCAGAAGAAACGCAATCCAAGCTTAGTCGGTGGCAGCATTATGAATCAAATAGGCTTACTGTCAAGTGCCAACACATTTTGAAGTAATGAAAACAGTAAATCTTGAGAATTTTCAATCATGTGTTTCAAGGTGACTTTAACATGTGAGGAGATGGGCAATGTTTCTTTTGTTCTTGATCATTCATGTGAAAAAGATTCAGAAGAAAACGGGAATTCAACAATAATTTACACAGAACTCCAAACATCTGATGTAGTGTGAAATGAAGGAGACATCACATTCTGATGAAAGTGATTGATTTGAAGGGTACTAGTAGTCATTTGAGGAAGACGTTATCCGTTAACTTGACATTCTTGGCAAAAAGGTTATTTTCTTCAAGGCAACTTGGTAAGGACTATCCAATGTTCGCTGGATAGTTTGTAGGTATGTTGGTTGCTTTCTTAGTACTGGTAGCATAACTCAAATTCAAAATTGCTAAATCCCTTCTATTTTATTTTGTTACACATATTTATATATGTACACCTTGTGTGGCACTATGCTTTATGTCTAAAGAAATTTCTTCTACTAAGTTCTAGATGTGCTTTTGGTGTTTGGTCTTAGAAGTTCATACATTTACCTTCTTACATCTTGGCAGTGCCTTCTCCTTGAACCTGCCGTCCCATCAGGTTTGCAACCTGACCACAGGAGCACGGTCCCTCAGGGGAGATCCATTTCAGGTTACAGGCAGGGCAGACTTGGCATTGACTTTGTTGACATTTTTAGCATACCAGGGAGTCCCTGTGGGGAGGGGGGCAGCAGGTTCATGGAGAGGGCAGCGAGATGCTGCATACGTGTACATTGGGCCGTACTCAGAGAAGTACATCAATCGGAAAAGGTTTCTAAACTATGGAGGTATTCCCTAGGTCAAGTCACGAAGGGAATATCTTCTCCCAACCTAATAGCTGGATGGTGACTTGGGGCAACGTAGAAAAGGAGAGCTAAGTGGAAATGAAATGAAGATTGTCACCTTGCAGCACACAATCCTGTCAGGGCCAGCAAACCTTAATCATGTTCAGGTTCAGGGGGAGGACCTACCCGGGGAATTTACAGCAAGTTGCTGGAATTCCGGGCATAGTGCAAGCCTGAGTGCAGAAAATTGGACGGAATTCACTGCAGGAATGGCAGGATAATGGACACATTCTGTGCTTTGGTCATGGTCGAAATTGGTTGAACCTTGCCAGCGACAAGGGCACAAATGCGTTCCTTTATCACAGGCAATAGGGATATAAGTATGAATACAGAGTAATGTTACATATACTGGTAATTTAAATGTTATATTCTTAGAAAGAAAGGTGGTCTCTGCAGCAAATGTTTCCTACTGCACATGTTAGACATCTGTGAATAAGCAACAGTATGAAAATTTCTTAATCCCACAAATATTCGTGGACTTGGCAGACAAAAAAATGAAATCCCACTGAATTCTTATATATAGTAGAGGGGATTCATTCCTCAAGCTAACCGACATCTCGCACACGCAGTCGTCCCTCAGTAAGACATCTAGAGCCGCATATAGTTGCCATTTAGGACTTTTAGTTAGCCTGTCACACTAAATTCTGAATTCTTGAATACCTCTGAATTTTTATGTTATGTTTCAGACTACAGGTACATGTACATTTTGTAGGCGGAGAATGGACCATTTATGCCATTGCCCATAGCATGGGGAGTACAATATCTTGTATCTTTGTCCTCTATCTGCTCAACAATGGTCAAGTTTTAGTGCAGTTCTCAGTACAAATAATACTGTCTGCAATGATTAGCAGGGGTTTTGCTAGAAAAATTTAGCATAAGGGGAGCAGTTTGCAAGCATGTCGAGGGAGCAAAGCGACTGAGCGGGGATTTTTAATGAGAGTAACACAGTTTGTTATGCTAGAATGCATTGTATTGTTTTACATCTTTACTCGAAAAAGATCATTTTGAGAAAGACTAAAGAGTGTGTAAGTAGCCACTTAGGGTTCAATCTGAAAACTGATGGAGCTGGCTGGTTACATGAGGGAGCAGCGCCCTAAAACCCCTGATTAGAACTTGTATGAGCCTGAAAACGAACTTATAAGACAGCTATTTGAACCTTCTGTAATTGTCTGGGCTCTGTGTGTGTCTGCAGTGATGCCTTCTGACGTCAGTACAAGGTCAGACAGTGCAGATGTTGAAGACATTTGTAGCTTGCGAGACTGGCCCTTCCTATAATACTTGTAATCATCTGGCTTTATGACAGGAAAGCTTTTGGAATCTGCATTAATCAAGGGATGCTCACTTTGAAGGCACACGTCATTGACTGATCACATTGCAGCTAATGGCTTATCACACATAAGCCCTACATATCTCGCCCCAGGATTTGTTTAAAACTATCTACAAGAAAGTTTGCTGTCTGTATTTGATGATAATTAAAAAGATGGATGAATTTTTGAACTCTTTCATATTAGGTTGATGACACTGAAACATTGGGTTCTGTTTCTACATTTATTTCTATGTACATGTACTTCTGTAATCCTGCTATGTGGCCCTCATACTTGAATGAAACCCATATTGTTCACGGGTTTTCATTTGATGTTTAGTCAACGTAGCAACAGAATTTTACCCCTTACAGATGGTATCTTTTTGGACATAACATTTGAAATCTATACATTGGATGTCAGCCTTCAACACGTGAATATTACCAAAGTACTATGCATGACACATTACAGAGCACAGGCACAGTACATTCTGCCGACATGCTTATGTTATAGAGTAAGTTTTTCCTCACGTGCACAATTAGATAGTACAATGTACATAGAAACACAAGGGTTTCCATTCACAATCACCCTCCCCTTATGTGCAATCATATAGCCTATACAGTGTACAGTGTACTTAAGAACAGCTGAGGCATATAAACTGAAGTGCCGTCCCCGCTAATTTTGTGGTTGAAAACTACCATTAGAGCTGGCATCACTGGGGAATTATCCTCCTCAGGGCTGTACAGACTGCTGAATGGGTGACAAGAGACATTTCCCAACAGTTATACTCTGTTGCCTTGTTCATACAAGACTGCATTATTGGGAAAGAGTAACAAGAGTTGTATGTCCTTTTCAGGACTGATGCATTTGGCAATGTAACGCAAAGGGTCTGACTCTATGATTTTTTTAAAACTTAGTGGTTCAATGCAAGGCCTATAGGACCACTTCTCGGCATTGAACTAGAAATATGAGAGACACAATGGTTACGTCAAGAGATGGCGGTGAACGTTTGATTTGAAAGCCTGTAGATTGTAGGTTGGTGGGAAACACTTGTCAGGGAGGGAATTAATTTCCTTAGAAGCTTTCAGATACTAGTATTATAATACAATTTATTGTTCAACATTCACATAATAGCAGTTCCTAGTGAATTCTTTCATCAGTGACAACTTTGGAAGGATAAGGATACTAACCTCCAAATTTTAGCCTCTACGCTTTGGGAGTGGTAAAATGTACTCAGTGTACGGACCAACTCAACTGGCATGTTATCTTTCTGCTTGGCCAGTTCCTACTCTTTCCAGTTGCTTCTGGAGCCTGCTAGAGGCTAGTGAAATACAGTATTCCATATCTGAACACTGCAGAGTTGCCTTGGAGTGAGACTAAGGTGAATATGACTTGATTGAGAACAACTCTTGATTGTGATGTGACACCACCATTGCTCTTTCCTGTTAATTTCACAATGGTTTGTTGTGCTTATCTGGAACTGCACTTTCACTTCCTTTGACAAATGACATGTACACGATACAGAATTCTTTTCTGGCGTACATTTTGAAAATTAAATCTAGATGCTGTTTTTATTCATTTGTCAAAAATTCCTAGGTGGGAAAATGCACTCTACCCATTTTGATATATGACCTTGTCCTTGATTAATGTTTTTAGAATGCCAATGTTCTGAGCTTGCAAGAATAGCTTTATTATTGTCTTTTATTTCTTCATATAGCGGCAGTTTTCACTGTTAGTATATGTTTAGAGAAAGATGAAATTTTACATACAGCAAGTATTTATACCACACACCTGCCTGCACCCCTTTTTCCAAGTTTTTCTTACAAATCGCGGGATATGAAAAAAGATCATACCCACTAAACCATGGCTCACGGTTGTGTTGGAATTTCGTTGATAGATGGTCGTGTCACGCTGTTACCTTCCAGCATCTATCAACGATGACAACATATCAATGGCTGCCATAGATTTCCACTCTGGTTACCATAGTAACAAACAGAAAATGAAAGGATGCCCCACTTACTGTTATCTGTAATCTTATTTTCTTCCAATTTGGAGGACAGATTACTGCCTATTATGTACAGGCGGGCTCTGGCAATGTTTCTCCCAGTTGTACTTCTAAATGGATGATTTTTCACAACAGTACCGCTCACTGCAGTCAGCCACAACTACAATCGATACTTCATCATGAACAAAGAGCCCCCAGCACTTCTTAATGCCATGAAATGACACATTTGTCTTTTTTTTGGTGTAATAGATAGTACGTCTGTTAAGAGAAAGGTGGTATATTTCACCAACCGCTCTGCTGGTACAGTCAAGACACAAGGTTTTTGATGTGAAAGACTTGAAAAGTTAATAATAAATGGGATGCGACATATATTGTATTTGTCATGCATGGGGAGGGACAAGGGTCATGATTTAAACTATAAATTACACAGTAATCACATTCATAGGTATGACCTTGGCTCTGAAATAGTTGGAGGTAGGAAATTGTCATCCATTCCAGATAAATAATCACTAACTTCTGCTCACAAACTTTTGAGTGTCATGCCCATAAGCTACCGGTAAATGAATATTTATGATGGAAAAATGTTACTCCAGTACATTCTACAGGCTCATTTAGAGAGAATTACTTGATTATGCCGAGTGTGTCACTCTGAATCTGTTTCCATGGTAGTTACTTGAGCTCGGGAAACTATATGCGCAAATGACCACAAGTTGACCACACTGCTTTGTGTGTTACTCTATTGTGTGCCTATGGCTGAATGGATACAGAACAATGATAAAGTCAACCAGGGGAATGATGCCTTCAAGATATAACGCAGAGGCAAGCCCAGATGCTTGTGTGAGGAAGAGAGAGAAAGAAGTTGATGATTAGGTTTATACTTCTTTCTTAAAAGAAAGAAGTGTACTCAAATCTAAATTTCGGTCTATGTCTGAGCGTTAGAATTAGTCTTCACAGTACGCGTTGACTGTTTTGTTAAGATTCACAGATGAATTCATGGCAAGTTCTCAATTTGCTTATGTAAATCTGTTGCATTTTAGCTGAAGTGGGTGTGTCCTGGGTGGTCCTCTATAAAAGCAGAGGACTGGAGTAGATTGGCAGGGAAATGTTTGACCTTGAGTGACCTGTTTATTTTGTGTTGCAGTCAGGACAGCTGGGGTTCCAGTGTGTGCTGGATATTGAAGGGAACATGAGGAGAGTTCAGGCCGCCGTTCTGGACGACCAAACCCTGCAGTGCCAAGCTGCACAGGTAGGTGGCACTGCTGTGTGGTGAACTTTCTTTAGCCTAGTTCACAGGCATTATTCAAGAGCTGCAGCTAGGAGTCAATGTGATACCAAACAGATTCGGTTGGGGGAGCTTCAGAAAAGATAAACATTGAAACTTTTTTTCAAACATGGATGAAGAAGGCAATTTTATTTCAAACATCTACATTATTTTTTCTAGACGAAGTGATAAAAAAATATCAGCTATTATACAATCAAAATATCACATTCCACCCAAAGTTTTCGTCTGCTAACAAAACGGTATCGAGTCTTGCTGTTGACCTCTGTCACACATCCCTGATAGCTATCTCCACGGAACATCGTTCACGGCAGTACACCTGACAGTGGGAATATGCCCCCACTCTACTGCTCATTTCCCCTGTATTGATTGAACTGATTGATATTCCAAGCGATACGCAGACCCATGGGAGATGGATGGAGTGCACCTGACCCAGCAAAGGAGAGGGCTCTACTCCTTGCCGTTATTGGCTCTTATTTGGCAGGACCATGAAATTATGAAAGAGGACATCCATCTCGGGTGCCAGAAGACAAGAGAACATACATGTAGATTTGGATCTGGTAGTCATACCTGATATGTGGGAAGTTCCTCTTCTTGGTTGACTCGCTATGTCATTATCGGACTCCAATTGACTACAAACATGAGCGCATGCTTTAGATTACAGGGCAGTTTCTTCACACGCAGTAGAATGTGAATTCCAATACAGGATGCAATCAGACATGTTTCTAATTTCCCTACAATAGACTCTTGGTTTATATCTCACACATGCTGAAAGATGTACAATGTATTTCCAGTGTAAAACTCTATGATTGACCTGGTGACCTTTTTTTTCTATTCCCCCCTCCCCCTCCCCCACAGTATTTCTACAGTAGAAAAGTCTTAAGTCTTCCCATCACCCTCTCTGTTGAATGGAACGGGCACTATATCATAGACAACCCACGAAATGCACAAGGTAGGAAAACATTATGCACATTGCATTCGCACAAGAGCCTTGAAATAGTTTAAAACATTGCCTAAGTGACAGAACTGCTGTGGTTTTTGTCCAGTCTGTAAGTGAGGAGTATCGATCACTCCAGGGACTTGACTATTCATCTGTATACAACTGGTGACTCCTCTCCAATTTCTTATTTCATGCATGACCAAGCCGTATGAACAACCTGACCCTTCTATTGACAGATTTCCTTCCGCAGATTTCTTCAGAAATATGGAATGTATGTTAGGAATTCCAACACAGACAAGTCCTGGAATGTTAATTCAGACTTCATGACCCTTTTTGTATGGTTTTAAGCTGTTCCAATATAGGCATATGCCAGTGTGCACTCATTTACATGGTAATTCAGTACCTTCTGAAAACTTCTAATAAGTTTTGGTTCAGATGATATGCTTTAAACAAAGCAGTGTATGATAATCAGACAAGTACTGTTCTATTTTCATTTCTGTATAAGTAACAAGTCCCTCTGTATTTCCAGTGTTCCTGTACAACTGCTCTGTGACCCACACCTCCTGCGGGGTCTGCCACAAGTCGAATGAGAAGTTTCAGTGCGGCTGGTGCCATGCCCAGGACCAGTGCACCATCAGGGACCAGTGCCCGGCTATGTGGCTGGACAGACTACAGACGTGTCCCAACCCAAGGGTCCTACAGGTACAGAAATACTCGGAATGTAATCTCCAAGCAGATGTTTCAGTGGCTGCAAATTGTATTGTGGTATCAAATTGGCCAGGCATCCAGTCTCACCAATGTATACTGCCTGGCTAATTTGATGTTGTCTTTTGCAGCCACTGAAACATCTGCTTGGAGATTACTCCGAAAGGCCAAGTCTTAGATTTATTTGACAATGTACAGTCTTACATGTAGATTCCAACTGCCTTGATACAGTCAAATGTCTAATGCAGCCACTTAGGGGACCTATAGAATCTAGTCTTCTTATTCAGACAGCTGGTCTTCTTACACAAAAATAACAGACAGACATTCAGATTTCAGAGTTCATGTCCTATAGTAGACAGTCCTAATTGCCTAACAGGTGACCCAGAGTGGGCCATCTTTGATCAGTCACCACAAAACCTGACGCAAACTAGCCAATTTAACCATAATTTCTCACTACTTACCATCAAAAATCAATATGGCTAGACACTTGAAAATGACATGGAGCCAAAATTTACAGCTTGGGTTAGTTGCTTAATGCTTGCATCTATTGGGAAAATTTTGGGGGACCAAGAAAAAGCAGTTGTCATGGCCAGATAGTCAGCTAATACATGTACATTGTATAGTGGTCACTTCAGGCAAGTTTGACTATATTATGATTTACACCACTTGTGTTTTCCATTGTCATGTTTCACCGATACATGTACATACAGTAAGTCAACCTTCTCTACCCACAGTTCACCCCAGTGGCAGGGCCCGTGGAGGGAGGAACCATTGTAACCATGAGGGGGGAGAATCTGGGCAAGCAGTTCTCCCAGGTAGACAACAATGTGTACGTGGCTGGAATTGCCTGTCAGACTCTGGAGACTGGCTTTGTACCTGAAGAACAGTAAGTACAGATGTAGTGGCTTCTTTAAAACAATGCATTCAAAGTCTATATAACTTCATCATTGGATGATAGAACCGTAAAGTGGTGAAAAACATTAATAGTCCTATAAAAACAAAATGTCATCAATATGTGAATGTTTTCAAAGGGCTTTGGACCACTCTTTCTTCTCCATACTTACAAAATTTTGAGTTGGCAAGAGTTGAAGTTCCTTCTCCCTCCTCCACAGATTGACATGTAGGACAGGTGCGTCCGCCCAGGGTATCATGGCTGGCCCCATCCAAGTCAAGGTGGACCAGTACAGTGGAAGGTCCAATGCCAACTTTTCATATGTGGTAAGTACATGTGCTTGAAGAAAGCTTTTAAGTTATCTTTAACAGCTATGGATTCTGCCAACACAGATGAGCTTTCATTCGAGTGTTAAGTACCTGGTAGATTCATTCTTCTGGCCACTGTAGATTCACTCCTGATGTCATCACATGTCCGGATTGTGGAAAGTCAGTGCAGTGAATCAGACATTTTGTGAATGTCGAATGAAATTTCATGGTGTTTCTTGGAGAAAGCTTAAATTTTTCAACTATATTCTAGAAATGTTTTGTGATATGATTTTGGGGGGTTAAATGCTTGCTCACACAATGCCACACAAAACATTGTAATTTCATGAAGAAGATGATATGTCTTTGTTTATGACCAAAAAGGCTAAAACTTTAATGTTCCAACCACGGCGGTCGGTTGCTAGGCTAAAGTCGCATTACTAAGGAGGTATCGGGTTACAGAACGTGTTCGAACGTGGCCGCGCGGGAGTCCCAGGCCGGCCCGGGGGCAACGGGTAAAATTTGAAAATAAACAAAAGTAATTGGAGAGTAAATACTCGTCAAAATAAAATGTAATAAGTGATTTTGTTTACCTCAAATGTTATTCTTGCACTGCCTTTGCTCCACTTTGTGTACATTTGCTTCCAAATGAGATCAATTTCGGATTTCAAAAAGGGTTCACGAGAACCAAACAACTGATTTTAAGAGGCCCCGAAAATTAAAGATAAGGTTAGATTTTTGGATTTTTAGAAATATTACAGTAAATTTAAACTTTCTGTCTTAGGATTTTTTAATTTTTTAACTAAAACTCGACTTACAGTCAAAAGAAGAGCTAAAAACGCAGTGTTTTAACTTTAAATACCGATAATTCATAATCGCGGCCATATTTAAAAAATCCCTAAGACAGAAATCTGCGGAAATCGTTGCTCTTCCAAACAAGACCTCAATGAGGTAATTTGAACGATTTTTGGGAGTGGTTAAAATACCATGTTTGCACGCATGCTGTGCCACTTGGATATGGGGACCTGGATTTTATAACAGCGCCAACAAGAATTCTGACCTTCAAGGTCACCCTCGATGACGGCAGTAGCTTCGTTACATGTTACATATTCACAATAAAATCACGGCATAGATGTAATGTTTTGAAAACGGTTCATATTTGTGGAAAGGTGGATTTTTTCCTGTTCCGTGGTTCCCAAGTAAAAAAGGGCTTGAAGTAGCCGGTTGTAGCAGCTTTACTGTAAATGACCGCGGGTAACCCCAGATCGAACGCCCGCTCTATTCGAATGACGTCATATCGAACAAGATTCGCGGGTTCGGGGGATTCGATCTCCATAGTAGCGGATTGGGACTTTTGGGCCCAAATCTGACCATCGTGAACACTAAGTAAATTGGGACTTACCAAAATTTTCGGCTAACTCGGTCAGCCTTGTTTACGGAATGGACCCATCTACTGCAACTTCCGTGAACAAGGCTGACAGAGTTAGCCGAAAATTTTGGTAAGTCCCAATTGACTTAGTGTTGGAACATATAGTTTTGGCTTTTTCGTCATAATGTATTATACCAACACAGATAAACTTTCATGCTAAGATGTCTTTGCCTCCACTCTCTCAGAACTCTGTCATCCTGAGTGTGAGCCCTACACGTGGTCCTAAGTCAGGAGGCAGTCGGGTGACCATCACAGGTCAGCACATGAACGCTGGCAGCACCATCACAGCTACAGTCGCAGGACAGGACTGCCGAGTCATGGAGTAAGAACCACTCATACCATCATGTACACATTGAATGTAGTTTTACCAATGGGTTGCTCAAATAGTGTAGGTAACATTTTAGCTGTGCACATACATGTACATGTACGTCTACCTGCACCTAAACCTTTACTGGGCCATGTGCTGGGTTTGTACAAATGTAAGTTAATGTGGACTTTTATTTGCTACATCGACTGTTCCCATCAATGAAGTATGAAAGAAATAATGACAATGAGTTCGGAACAGTTTTTAGTACAATCCAGTCTTTGATCAAAATTTAAAACCATCCTTCATAAATTATCATTGGTGCAGGAAAAATATTTGATAAGTAGCTTTGCAGAAAAAAGTATTTCGAGCCCTGTCAATACTACAGCTTTCCTTACATCTTACTACTGTTTGTTACAAATATTCTTGATTCCTTAAGTCTAAAATTTTATGTAAGAAGCAGTCAGGTAGTAAATGTTTTTTTGTTTGTTTGTGATGTTTATTTGTTTGTTTGTTTGTGTTCAGAACAACGTCCACCACAGCTGTGTGCATCACCTCCGCCTCCACCATGCTGACCTCAGGAGGGGTCAGGATGAAGTTTGACGAGGCCACCAAGGTCAACAACAACATCCGCTTTGAGTACGTGGTGGACCCGACAATCATCCAGATCCTCACAGACAAAACAATCAAGAGGTACAGTTAAAGGTTCTACATATACAATACGACACAATGTATTCCGTAAGACCCAAGGTACCAGCATGACCGCGGGTCGGATCACCTGAAAGCCAGAGAGAGATCCGACCCGTGGGAGGGCTGGGAGTGTGATGCAGAATACAAAATGTTGTGTTTTATATATGTCAAACTCTACAAAGAGAATGTGGCAAAATTTGGTGTCCCTAAACAAAAAATGGAACACTATGAATTTTAACGACTAAACCCGGTAATGGAATTTTCACAGTTATTACGAGCTGAAACACCCATATCAAACCAGGTATGACATAAGCAAAAATATATGTGTTAAGCTTAATCAAGTAAGACTCTAAAATTGTAAGATTACAATCTTCCTCAACTCTTTGTTCTTCTTTACTCCAAGTGGGGGCCTCCCGGTGCAAGTGATGGGGACAAACCTGTTCTCAGTACAGCAGCCCAGGATGACTGTTACTGTGGGAGGACGGACCTTCACCGGGGTAAGATCATCCTTTTCATATGAAAATTGTTACAATCTAACTGCTCTACAGGCTTACTTATAATGTAATGTGTATGCTCACATAGGGTCCACTCTGCTATACATGGAGCCCAACTGGCTCTAACATAGGCTTTAGTTTAAATTGATATAATGGTAAGGCCTAACTTATCATGAAAGTTCATCTGTGTTGGTAGTTACATGTTAAGAGTTAAAACTGTCAATCCAACAAAAAAAAATTCTCTTACCTAGAGCTTTTGACCAGTCACTCTGGTCTTCCTAAGTAGACTGACCCAGTGAGGCTTGTCACGTGGCTTCTTAGGCCTAACTTATTTGTCTCATTCCCAGGAACCCTGCATTGTCAAGACAGAAAACATAATGGAGTGTCCGTCCCCCGGCATCGTCGCTGATAGGAACGCCACAGAGGACGATCCCATTCAGGCTGACTTCTACGGTTTCATCATGGACGGGGTGTTAGCCACCAGGAACCTGTCCCAGGACAGCTCCCTCTTCATGCCCTACTTGTACTACCCTGACCCCATCTTCTACCCTTTTGAGGATGGAGAAGAACAGATGACAGAAAACCTCATCATCAGGGTAGGTATTTATTTTGTGTTGTGTTCAGGTGTTCTGCAGTCATTACTAGGGCTGTCTTCAGGCTTTAGATGTTATAAAATCGACTGTTAAGTTTGTTCTGTCCATGGAGAGGATTGGCTGGGAAATTATCTGGTTCTGTCCATGGTGCTGATTGGCTGTAAAGTTATCTGGTTCTTTCCATGGCACTGATTGGCTCAAAAGTTATCTGGTTCTGTCCATGGTGCTGATTGGCTGGGAAGCTATCTGGTTCTGTCCATGGTGCTGATTGGCTGGAAAATTATCTGGTTCTGTCCATGGTGCTGATTGGCTGGAAAGTTATCTGGTTCTGTCCATGGTGCTGATTGGCTGGAAGATTATATGGTTCTTCCCATGATGATGATTGGCTGTAAAATTATCCGGTTCTGTCCATGGTGCTGATTGGCTGTGTAAGTTATCTGGTGCTGTCCATGGTGCTGAACGGCTGTGTAAGTTAGCTGGTTCTGTCCATGGTGCTGATTGGCTGTTAAGTTATCTGGTTCTGTCCATGGCGCTGATTGGATGGAAAGTATCTGGTTCTGTCCATGGTGCTGATTGGATGGAAAGTATCTGGTTCTGTCCATGGTACTGATTGGAAAGTTACTAGTATTTGGTGCTGTCCATGGTGCTGATAGGCTCTTGTACACATCTTTTAAGAATCTCCCGGTACAGATAATGGTGGAAACTATAACTGTTCTTCAAACTTACATTTCCTCAGGGTGAGAACCTCCTGCTGGTGATTAAGGAGGAAGACATCACCGTCCTGATCGGTAACCAGCGCTGTAACGTCACGTCCCTGGCGAAGGACCTGCTGACCTGCCGGCCACCTGAAGCTAAGCCTGCTCGTGTGGAGGAGGACGGAGGGCTCAACTACGGGGCTCAGCCACAAGTCTTGGTATGTGGTCCACTGTGCATGATGTACAAAATGACTAATAAACTGGTGGACGCACCAACCACTAAGTATCTGATACCAGCCCAGAAAAGAACAAGAAACAGTCATGCCTTCAAATATCAGAGATATCAAAAGAATTGGGGTATTAAAAAACTCGTATTTCCCCAGAACTATCGTGGACTGGAACTCGTTGCCACCAAGCACAGTTGGGGCATCATCACTAGAAATCTGTAAAAAACTGCAATAATATTAAATGTGCAAAGATTGAGTGTAACAAGTAATTCGGTGTGATATAGCTAGCTGCCGCCACGCCACGTGCCTGCGAAGCTGGTGTGTTACGCCAAAGGGCGGTTATACTGGCTATACTGATACAGATACTGATACAGATTTCTGCAAGCATGTTCCCTTCTCTTTAGATAAAAAGGTCGACTTTAAATTCTCTTTCATTAAGACTCATTCTTTCCTGTCCTTTTTGCTGTTGTAGTAGTAGTAGTAGTAGTAGTAATAGTAGTACATGTAGTAGTAATTGGTTCATTGATAAAACCCAGCATCAGCTGAATTGTGCAGAGATTTACAGTTCAAATTCAACTACATTGAAACCAACAGAGTTGTTGTTATTATAATGATATATACAAAACCTTTGCCTTTTAGTATCACATTTTTTTTAAAGTAAACTATTACAAAACATCTCTTCTCCATTACAATTGTATCTAAGTCCAGTCTTATTAGCATAGCCCAATTCAAGTTACCAAGGTGATCAATTAGTCACATGTTGTTATCACGCTCAACCCCCAGCCAGCATTTTTTAACAGCATTGTTTGTCTGTTTTCTCACACAGGTCCTGGTTGGAGACCTGGAGTTTTTTATCGGCTATCTGGACTATTCTGGAGCAGGAATCAACTTCCCGCTGGAGGCACAGATTGGGCTGGGCGTGGCCGCAGGGCTGGCTCTGGTCGTCATCATGATCATCCTCATTGTCTACAGGAGGAAGTCCAAGGAGTCAGACAGGGTCCTCAAGAAGATGCAGATGCAGATGGACATCTTGGAGTCTCGAGTGGCCAGGGAGTGTAAGGAAGGTGGGTGTGGTGGTCTTAAGGAAAGACAAGTGGAGACAATCATTGTGTCTGTCAACTATTTTAAGAATATCAGGTCCTTTTGTATTATACGATCATCTTTGTTTTCGGCTGTGTTTGTGTGTTCTTGAAGCTGTAAGTCACGGTGGTTTTAACAGTTACTGATTTCTTTTATACCTGTATATTGTATATGATACTCAGTATATGATAGGTTATTAGGGCCCAAATTATGCAATCTGTTGTTTTTTTTCCTTTGGACGTATATTTTCGGCTATTGAAATGAAATAATTTTGTTGTGTGGTATGGTCTATCAACAGCTGTTACCCTCCCTAAGAGTTAAGCTGTGTGGGAATCAAGGCTCAATGCCTGTTTTGTCCTTCAGATGAGATCAGAATAATCTGGCTCTATCATCTGACAGGAGACACATTCACACAGTAGCAAGAAGCAATGTCAAGGATTTCTTTAAGCAATAACAGATTTGTTGTTGGTGTGATTTATCGCAGCATTTGCAGAGCTGCAGACAGACATCACAGAACTGACCAATGACCTGGAGGGAGGAGGCATTCCCTTCCTGGACTACAGGAACTACACCATGAGGGTCCTGTTCCCTGGCTGTGACGACCACCCTGTCCTCAGGGACTTGGAGGTACATCAATTATTTTGTTTGTTTGTTATTTGTTTGTTTGTTTGTTTGTTTGTTTGTTTGAGCCTTTGTTTACTCATGAAATACATCATCCTCCTGGCCGCCATCCTCTGAGGCCATGAGGGAAGAAGTCAGAGTCAGACAAAGTATAACAACATATGTTTTACACGATTGGAGTTCTAACTAGTCCATAATCATATAGTTGTATAGGGCCTACAATGTATATAATGTGCAAGGATAGAAAAGAGCTTATGACATTTAGTTTTTATTGCACTTTTTTAAAAAGTTGTTAGGTGGAGCTCTTTGAGGTCTGACTAAAGTTTCGAGTTTCCAGTCTGCTTGCTCAGTTTTGCAGATTCCAGAAGAAAGAGATCAAGTTTGCTGCAATTTTGATGACTTTTGCTAGGGGGGGCTATTCACAGACTGGTAATGTGTACTTCTGTAATGTTGTTTGTAGGTCCCAGGGGGGAAAGCTGCATATATGGAGAAAGGGTTGAAACAGTTTGGTCAGCTGATCAACAACAAGACGTTCCTTGTGCTCTTCATACGGACCTTGGAGGAGCAGAAAAACTTCACCATGAGAGACAGGTAGGAAAAAGCAGCGATCTACAGAACTTGGTGTTGGCAATGATTGTTATTACTGCACTGTGACTATTACTGCACTGTGACAACTGTGATATTGGTAGCATGTCAAGTGTATCTACCAAAAAAATAGACTTTGAAAGTTTTGCTGCCCTGAAATTACTTTGGGTGCCTTTAAATGACACAAACATGATCATACCCAGTAGCTTCAAAGATCTTTGTGATAATGATGAGTATGATTTATGATGAAGATGATACAAAGAAAAATCCAGCATCATCCTAGTTACCAAAGACTGATGCATTCTTTTTTCACCACAGATGTAATGTGGCATCCCTGGTCATGGTTGCCCTGCAGGGAAGAATGGACTATGCAACTGAGTAAGTGGCCACATTCTTTTTACGCAAAACCTTCATATACCACACCCTCTCCAACGAATGTACAGAAAGTGTGAGAAATAAAATGGAACGAAATATGAAGCAAAAAACAACGTAGATCACTGATAACAAGGGAACTGAATAAAGGACTAAGGAATATGCAAAAGTCAGCAGTAAATTTGTTAAGATTTTCACTTCTTTTTGCACTTTCTGTACACCATCTCCAACTTGTTTTGAGAATGCCATCACATATCAAGTCAGTGTATGACAGTATTATAAAAAATGTTGTTGTTACCTTTTTCAGCATTCTAAAAGCCCTCCTGGCCCAGCTGATTGACAGGACAGTGTTGGAGAGTAAGAACCCCAAACTTCTGATGAGGAGAACAGAGTCTGTTGCTGAGAAGATGCTGACCAACTGGATGTCATTCATGCTGTACAAGTTCCTCAGGGTAAGTTTTAAACTGGCTGTGTGATCCTGTCCACTTGAGCCCCGTACATCTTGTTTTGCGTTGAAACGTGTGTTCTTACTTGTCTGTCCCCCTCCTACACAAGTGTAGCTGAGACCCTGTATATCTTCTGTATCTGGTATAAACGCCCTTCGGCATAACACACCAGCTTCCTAGAGCATGTGGTGTGGCGGCAGCTGGCTACATTCTACTGAAAGGCTTGTTACACCTACATTGTTCAAAGCTATCTAGTGTACTTGGTGACAGTGAGTTCCACTCTGCGATAGTTCTAGGACTTTTTGAACACCTCAATTCTTGGTTGGTAACTCTGATACTTTCAGGCCTTGCCTGATACTTTGATGTCTGATACTTTGATGGCATGACTGTTTCTTGTTCTTTTCTGAGGTTCTCTTGTTTTGTGTTGAAATAAATGTGTTCTTTCTTGTCTGCCCCCCTCCCACAGGAGTGTGCAGGCGAGCCCCTGTACATGCTGTTCCGTGCCATCAAGCAGCAGGTGGAGAAAGGTCCAGTGGACACCGTCACAGGCGAGGCCAGATACTCGCTTAGTGAGGAAAAGCTTATTAGACAGCAGATAGAGTATAAAATACTGGTGAGTATATTGGTTTCTATTTAAATTCTGAATTTGTTTCAGAAGGACAGCTGAAAAATTCAATTTGCTGGTCCTTGTCATTGACTTAGACCCGATTCACACTATCGTATGCCAGCCCTTGAGGCAACATATGTACGATCTGAATTCTTAATTTATGTCAAAGCTGGTCAATTTACACACAGAAAAAAAATCAAGGTACACATTTTTTGTACCATCAGGTTTTTGCCCACTTGTAAATTGGATCTAACATTAATATTATTATACATGTATTGTGTTGAGCAGCTTGTTGTTTACTCAGACCATTGTTTACTCACACCTGTTGTTTACACAGACCGTGAACGTTGTTGGCGTTGATGACAGCCAGCCCATCCCTGTGAAGGTGTTGGACTGCGACACCATCACACAAGTCAAGGAGAAACTTCTAGATGCCATCTACAGAAGTACGCCCTTCTCCTACAGGCCACACAAGGATGACGTGGACTTAGGTCAGTTTGCTACGTCTTACCCTTCACACTCACCACTGTCTTCCTTCCACTGTCTTCATCGTGTCTGTGTCTCTGCATTGTGCTCCCTCCCATCTCTAGAAGCATACATACTAGTATACTGATTTATTTATACTGATAGTATACTGATACTGTATTTTTACATGTATATACCGGGTGGTACTGTAAGTATTGGAAGCAAATACATAAGGGACTGTACGATACATGTATTTACCGGGGGGGGGAGGGCCGGTCGTCTGAGGGGGGAGGGCCTAGGAAAAAAATTTTGAGCCGGGAGGGCCTAGGAAAAAATATTTTAATTTGGGGGAGGGCCTAGGTAAAACATTTTCCAAGATTCCTTTAACTCTACAACGTTTTTATACACTTTCGAAACATGATTAAACGTTGTCCCATACATATCGTAGCGATTTTCCAGTCATTGGAATTGGCAGAATTTTACGTTCCAATAATATCCATCCCTATTATTATAATGTATTCGCCCAAATCTCCCACAGTCCCCTTCAAAATCTTGCATTTTCGCCAGAATCGGCGAAACTGGACTACACAGCTAAATTACATGGATTAAAATCGCGTCAATCGCGGCAATCGAAACGATACCGATCAAAAATGTAGGGAAGGCTTGTCTGAAGATTTTGAAAATTAATTTTCGCCGTTCAACGCACCCTTCCCAGTAGTGTGGGTGCGTGCGTCGGCAAAGGTCCCGCTGGTCCCGCCTCGCAACTCGCTCGAACTTCTCGGCGTGGATGTCGGATGTGGACGGATTAATTTGGTATTTTTCTTAACCAAGGACTATTTTAACATTTATATCTATGTCCCTCCAAAGTTAATTGAAAACAACACGTAAGTTGGCAATATTGTTTCCCTGTTTGTAATAAAATTGACGCGGAAGAAGTTCGTGGACGAAAGGTAGGCTAGATAGAGGATTATTTCGATTACACTGACTGACCATAACGTTACTGACTTTAAATTCATAGCTCGATGTACTAGCGAAATTTGTGCTGCCAAATTTGCCCCTAAACATGCAAAACATGGGTTGAAATTCAAAATTTTTCCGGGGGGGACATGCCCCCCCCCAAAAAAGCCGGGCCTACTCGGGCTCTAGTGGCGCCTGCGGCGTGATGGCTCGCGCCTTCGGCGCTTCATGCAGGGTAAATTTTCAATCAAAATCTCGTCCTCCCCATACGAAATTTCACTCTCTATGATTCATGCCGGGGGGAGGGCCTAGGAAAATTTTTTGAGCCGGGGGAGGGCCTAGGAAATTTTTTTGGACCTGGGGGAGGGCCTAGGAAAATTTTTTTACGCTACCCCCGGACGACCGGCCCCCCCTCCCCGGTAAATATCGTACAGTCCCTAATGAACTAGAAGCAGACAGGGAAATTACACCTATCACTGGATCAACACATGTTATAGCCACTGTGAGCAACAAAGTTTTTAGCTCTCACAGTGGAGGAAGGATACCCCCAAGAAGAAATAAGATAAAAGTGGGTAAGTGAGTAGAGTGTTTGCCCTTTTTCTCATTCTGGGATATCCTTGTGTTCTGTCCTTAGTGGAGGGTTTTCATACTGGCCAATGAAAATGACTTTAACATTTCTGTTACTTTAAGACGTCCTGTCATTGGATGACTTTTGGGGTTTGAACATTTTTCATGCCAGTGTTATAGCCAGCCTTAACTTTTTTTTCTGTCCTCTTAATTTTGATTGATGTAACATCATGTCAAGCACCAAAGGCACAATCCTATGGGGGGTCGAGGGGGCATGCTCCCCTGGGAAAATATTAAAATCTTGACCCTCTGAAACACTATTTCCTGCATTTTGAGGGGTGAAGTTTGCTGGTAGACTAAGCTTAGTATAATGTCATCTCTTTCAATCAATCAATATCTTTTCAATCAATACGTCCATATATTTCCATGCTGGTTCTTTTTCATCAAAGATGACAGACTGGGCAAAATTTTTGTCTGTCATGATGAGCAGAATCTATCAAATGATGGAAAGACATGTGCTGGCTAGATCACTGCTTCATATCATCCATCCCCTGCTGTTTTCTGTGTGTGTCCATGTGTGGAAATGTGACAGACGCCTGCTGTAAGGTACCCAGGTCAGGCTCCACTCTGACACAAGATGGCGGATACCAGGGAGACTCAGACTCTGACAGTGATGACCTTCAGAGTAAGGGTGGCTCTCGTCAAACCGTCTAACATTTGTCATCTTTCTCAAAACTCACCATCTCTTTCCTCAAGAATTACAGTTGGATATCTAACTTGTACCATAGATTGTGCTCAAGAGTTAACTGTTTACACTTAGAAAAGATAGCATAGTTCGTGTAACTTTTGTCACATGGTACATTTCACATTATTCATATATTAAGACCATGCAAAGAATGTCCTATGACCACGCATGTGCATGTTTTCAGAGAGTATATTTCTGTTTTATATGACATATGTAGATGTTATTTACAATGAAAATCTAGACAAGTATTTTGGTTTTGATCATCCATTGTCATGTGCTCATTGTCTGTAACGTATCTGTGAAATATGTGCTTGAAACGTAAGCAACTTTTCCCCACTGCTCTGCAAAGTTTCATCATGTACAACTGTAGTATGTTTGTCTGTCTGTGTGTGTGTGATTTCTTCATACCTTTTCACACTGTACTGTATATCCATCATTGCTTTAACTTCTACATTGCCAGAGTCCAGCCAAATCATGCACATGTCAATCTGAAGTGTAGTGCAGGATACGTTAAGTGACATATCAATTTTTTCCCACTGTCCTGTGAATTTGCTTGCGTAAGATAATCCAGGAAATATTACCAGAAAAAGTTGGAAATTAATTTTTTTAAGAAAACAAAGAAACAGTACAGAAAATCTGAGGAAAAAATTTGGATGGGTCCCTTTACTCTTTCATACTGTCCACTGTCCTGCACTGCAGTTTCTAACACAATTGCAAGAGGGCTCTGTGACTTGGTCACTGGCCTGGTCAGCAAAGCTATCAGATTCCTAAATGTCATACATGCTGCAAATATATACAAATGTAATGGGTCAGAATCTATACATGGAAGAAAAAAAATGAGGTATTTTTTTGTAATGGATCAATTTTCTTGTTGGATTGAATCTAGAATTTTTGTCCAAATTGTCAGATTTAGTTGTGAGATGATGACAGTGTGCAGACCAACTCTGGCAAACGCTGTTTTCTTGCACTCTGCCCTTCTGCCATACAGGTCTTTTCCATGGGATAAGCCCCTTGCATGGACCTGCCTCTGTGATAAGTCTGTACCCATTCCATTACACTCTTTCTGGGCACTTATTTCTCATTTTCGGGTAGTCTAGTGGGGCATTTTTTCCCTTGATAGTATATATCTGTTTTCCCCCTTTCTTTACCTTTTTAATTATTCCATGCTTACAGGGATACTTCTACTTGTGGTTTAAACAGGAAAATAACTTTGTATATGGTGCATATATCCATATCTGCCACATACTGACAACATACATGTATACCATAATATACAGATACAATGTACAAACATCATAGGAAATTTATTGATCTGTTGACTGTGTCCACCTCATTTGGAATACTCTTCAGTTTCTTCATTGCCATTGCAATTGCTTGTTTGGTCGTAAAATTTTTGGGCCTCGAATACAGCACAGCACAAAGAAAAGGAACAATTAACATAATTGATGTCAAATGTAGTGTATTATCTCTTAACCTTGTCCATTGTTTGTGGACAATGGTGTATTCAAAATGCCGTTAATATTTTATAAAGCTAGAAGGCCATACATGTTTGAGGTATTGCATATTGTTGACAGAGCCTATGATAGTAACATTAACGTTTGCATTTTCAATCCTTCTCTGTTTCTAAAATTAGAAGATATCTTGCAGTTATAGGAAGTAAATGATCAAATATTTGGCATCTGACAAGGCAAAATATCAGGACTGGACATGCACATTGTAGCAAAGATTAGCCGTAATCAGAAGATGAAATTTCTGTGTCATACATTTGTATCTCAGTATCCCCAAGTTCTACACTACAAGCAACCCACTACTTTCATTTTCCTGTCTGTTGGAACCTAATGCCTTTCAAGATTTGACAGTACATTTATAGGGGCTTGAAATACTTTTTTTCTGGCAGTGCAGGTAACATTGAAAGACCAGACAAATTTTACCTGCTTACTCAGATTTTAGTATGGTTAATACTAAAACTGTTCAGACAGAAACCTATGCCATTACCAGTATTTCTTTCATACTTCATACTACATAGGTGATGTCAGTCAATACAGCCTAATGAAAATCTACATATACATGTATCTTTGTTAGATCTTTAGTTAAGTTGTAGAAGACCATACAAAAGTCTCTGTACTTTTTTTTTTGTTGTGTCAATAAAGAATCTCCTGTATTAACTCCATACATGGACCGGTCCATGCTAAGTGCAGGTAGACATCAGGAATACCTGCACAGCTGCAATTTTACCTGCACTAACCTGCATACATGTATGTACATGTAGGTGGTATTTCAAGTCCTGAATTACCATTTTACCAATATTCCGCATGAGAACTCCTGTAGAGTTCTATATGAACATAATGTTACATGTACAGTATATAACTAGTTTTCATACACAATATACATTACTGTGTGGTTATGTGTGTGTTTATGTAGTGTGTTGAAAATGTGTGTTTGTTGCTGTTGTGTGTCCAGAGTGGAGACAAGGCCGGCTGGGCAGACTGACCCTACAGGACGATGACCTGACCTCCAAACCTGAGGGCGAGTGGAAGAGAATCAACACCCTGTCTCACTATCAGGTACAAATGTACACGTGCCTCTGTATACACAGGCCAGATTTACAAAATACACTGCGCGAAACCCATAGTATATTGTGCATACATGTAGCACTATATCTTCAGCAGAACGTCTCATATAAGGTCGTATTTGCGTATATAAGGTTAACATCCTGATCTGTAGTTGCAGATCTTTTGTTGCAGAAAAGATCTTTTCTGCAACAGGCAAAATTCTCTTGTAACAGTGACCAAAGGTCAATAAAAACCGTGAAAAATCGGGGTTTTGCACAGATGCAGTACGTTCTGTCGACGTGCAGACGCAAGAGTACGAAAACTGGGTACGTCAAATCGGCTTGTTTTGACGTACATCAAGAACCTACGTTCAGATTGTACATTACCTCGAGGATTGGCGTACAATCTGAAGGTACATTCTTGACGGAAGTCAAAGCAGGCCAATTTACACACAGGAAAATTTGATGCTCACGTGTGTACCCAGTTTTCGTACGTCAGGTTTTTGTCCCTGTATACATTGGGTACAAATATTGGTTTGCCACTTTTGAATGCTCGCAAACATAGCGCTATTTGCTCAGTCGTTTATGACACACTTCACTTTGGTAGTTGGTACCTCCTAAAGAACTTAGCCAATATGAAGTGCCATTATTCAGTTTATTAAAAAATATTTGTACAACAGTTTGAGAGGACACGAGTGCCACAATAAGGAACTCCGCACTGTGCAATAAGGAACTCTCCATCAGTTTGAATGTTGAATCTTTATAAAATAGCCTTGGTTGAATTGACCCCTAAACTACTTAGACACATAAACATCCCAGCCTGTCTGGCTACCAGAAATAATTCCTGGAAAAGATTGGCATGATACTGTTCAGAAACTTTTTGAACAGATTCAAATAGTTTCTTGACTGGTCTCATCAGTAACGTTACAAATTAAATCATGCAGAATAACCCAAATAAATACAATTAAGTAATCTAGACAATACTATACATTGTATGTATCTGCAACTTGCAGTATTTGAAAAAAAAACAATTGTGTGCTTGTAAAAAGGCCAGATGGAAAGCTCAATGCACGTCAGGAGAGGACATGCTTAGTAGGACGGGCTTGTGTAGAGTGGTTACCAGGCTACCCTAGGACTTGCATTTTATACAACTGAACACACCATGTACTGTACATGTACATTTGCTCCTAACTTGCTCCTTTTGCTCCTAGCCACAATGGATGCCCTTCTGATGGATCAAACCATTAAAAGCTAATAGAGTTTTTGTATGCCGTGAGTTGATTAGCCCCTCAGTCAGGCTAACCAAACTCCCATTGTGTAAAACCTACTGGGGAGCCAAGTGGAGTTGGGTGGTGATGAAGAGCCCCTGCAGCACAGAAGATAACCCACCCCAATAGTGATAGACTGGACACACAGGCACAGCAAAGGTCTCCCGTGCTCTATGCAGAGCATGGGGTTTGGTGCCCATGTCCATCTCTACATCTACATTTCTACAGCAGGGGGCTAGTCCGCTGGTAGTGCTGTGTGTTTGACCCTCCCACACTCTTTCTCATGTTTTAAAGTCTTTGGTATGACCCGGCCGGGGTTTGAACTCACGACCTCCCGGTTACAAAGCGAGTACTCTACCAATTGAGCTACTGCACCGGCACAGGTTAACCTGTAATGTTTTACTGTCCAGGTCCCAGATGGAGCCATCATGGCGCTGGTCCCCAGACAGCAGACCGGCTACTTCAACCTGTCCGGCTTCTCAGGCCTGTCCTCCCTCTCCACCAAGTCTCTCACCAAGAACCCGTATGGTAATGGAGGTCTGATGACTCTTACCTTCCACTACTCATATCCTTGTCACAAAATCTGTGTCTAGAGCAATTAGCCAGAAACAATTACATCTATGAACAATACATTGTAGCTGAAGACAGCTCACAACTTGTACTGTAATGTAATGTAATGTACTACATACATGTATACATGTTGTGTAAGAATGAAACAATGTGTGTGTGTGTGTGTGTGTGTGTGTGTGTGTGTGTGTATATGAATGTTTGAAGACGGTACAAACATTTACAGACTAAGTAAAAGGTGATAGCAATAAAAAACAGGAAGAGGTACCCTACATTAAATAGCCCCAAAGCTATGATAGTCAATATACCAAGCTTGTTTATTCAAACAATTTTGATCTATGTTAATCAATCCACTGCATTGATAGGTGGAAAAACTGTAACAACTAGGAAGACAAGGACTTTTTTCAACTGTTGGGGCCCAAAATATGAGCATTTTTCAGAAAATAATTAAGTGGGCAAATCCAGCTGATTAAATTAGTGTGGCAATGCTGCCCTTTTCCCACACCAAGTCCTTGTCATCACTTTTACAAAGAGATTCTTGTTAGATTTCTATACAAGTAAGAGATCATTTTTGTAAGAGATGATTTGTGTCCTGGGAAGTTGTTCTTACTTGCGTGTTGTTGTTCCAGCGGCTGACTGTATGAATGTGAGCAGTCCTGGACTGAGCAGGTTCCCCGGCAGTCCTGCCAGCAGGTCCACCTCCCCCATCATCACTCCTGATCACATGGAGAACGGCATCAAGCTCTGGCATCTGGTCAGTATACTATACAATCATGTACTACAGGATATACTATTATGTCATAGATGGGCTGTGATAACATTCAATATATATATATGTGTTCCCGCCTGTGTGATAACTGCCAGTATTACGGCCTGGTATTTCGGTTGATTTGCATTGTTATACAATATTTGAGTAACCAAAGTAACCAAACAGTGACATGTACTCTGCATTTGTTGCTGGAAAAAAAGTTAACGTATAGTGCAACTTCATTTTGTGACTTCAGGTGAAGCATCATGACCAGGACATGCAGCGGGAGGGAGACAGAGGCAGTAAGATGGTGTCAGAGATCTATCTCACCAGGCTCCTGGCCACCAAGGTACCATTCCTAACCACTTCTATCTCCATTCTGTCTGTATTCTCTTGTAGTACAGAAACATTACAGTACATTTTTACAGAACCATACTCAAAACCTGAATCCTAGTTTTTCCCATTCAGTACGAATGCTCAGTCAGCTACTTTGCAGAAGAAGAAATCTGAGTTTCCAGAGTTAAAGTTTTTTTCTTTGTCCACAGGGCACGCTGCAGAAGTTTGTAGATGACTTGTTTGAGACGATATTCAGCACGGCGCACCGCGGGAGCACGCTGCCGCTCGCCATCAAGTACCTGTTTGACTTCCTGGATGAGCAGGCAGAGAGACACGCCATCACTGACCCCAGTGTTATCCACACGTGGAAGAGCAACAGGTGCGGACTGGGTGTAACTTTTCTTACATTGTGTCGGTGTTCTAGCCAATGGAATTTGATGGGATTTTGTTGCTCACGGCGGACAAAACTTGTGCATAATCGATTATCTTTGATGGACCAAAATTTGCATTTAAAGATAATGGAAAAACATAAAATCCAAGCCATTAAACATAAAAGCCATTAAATATAAAAGCTTTGTCTACCAGCATATTTTACCCATGAAAATGCAGGAAATAGCATCCTAGGATTGTCACGCCTCAAGCAAAATTGAGATGACAGAAAAAAATGTCAGGCTAGCTATAACACTGTTACAATTTGCTGTAGTTAGTGCAGTGCAACATTTGCAGCCAAGTAGGTGATTGACATAACAGTACAATGGAACCGTAAAATGCATAGCCAATGGCAAAGCTTATCTGAAGAATAAAGGAAGCTCATTGGCTCAGCTCACTAATGACAAGTTTGCTTTGAAATAGACAAGTTTGGAATTGTATTAATGATGTCCTTTCAATGATGTTACGCATAGCATATGTATGCGAATACTGTACTTTCAAGTGAAGGTTAAAAATTTCCATCTATAACTTTTGTCCTTTGAACCTTCTTCCCCAGCCTGCCACTTAGATTTTGGATAAACCTGATCAAGAACCCCAACTTCGTGTTTGACATCTACAAGTCCAACACGGTCGACGCCTGCCTGTCCGTCATCGCCCAGACCTTCATGGACTCCTGTTCCATCTCTGACCACCGCCTGGGGAAGGACTCTCCCTCCAGCAAGCTGCTGTACGCCAAGGACATTCCACAGTACAAGAACTGGGTCAACAGGTCAGAGGGCTATCATGAAAGTTCATCTGTGTTGGTAGTTGCATGTTTAAAGTTAAAACCTTTGGTCCAACACAAAACATTCTCTAACCTAGAGCTTTTGACCAGTCACTCTGGTCTTCCTCAGTAGACTGACCCAGTGAAGCTTGTCACGTGGCTTTTTTGAAGTGTGACGTCAACACTGAGGAAGACCAGAGTGACTGGTCGAAAGCTCTACATGTAGGTGAGAGAAATTTTTGTGTTGGACTAAAGTTTTAACTCTGAACAGGTCAGAGGGCTGTTTAAAGTTAAAACTTTTGTTCTAACCTAGAGCTTTTGACCAGTCACTCTGGTCATCTTCAGTAGACGGACACAGTAAGACTGGTCACACTAGTTCTATAGTCAGATGGTTCTAATATAAGGTTTTGCTGGTTACCTAGAGAAGAGAAAAGTCATGTTACATTTAATTTCTGCAAATAGAAATATAAAGTCTGACGTTCTTTTAACCTGTCTTTTTTCAATTGCGTGTTTAGGTACTACCAGGACATCCAGGCCATCCCACCAATCAGTGACCAGGACATGAACGCCGTGCTGGCCGAAGAGTCACGCTTGCACTACAACGAGTACAACACCATCAGTGCCTTGCACGAGCTCTACAGCTATGCCAACAAGTACAGTGAGGAGGTAGGTGGCACTGTAGAGAAAACACAATGATTTCTGGAAGTATCATTGAATGCTGAAACTGAATGCTGGTCATTGCCAAGAAGCCGTTTGTCAAGAAGCTTACTGCATCTTAGATTCTAAGGGCCTTAATTTTCTAACAAGGATCAATGCTTATGAAAAATATAATATCTAATTACATCTACAACAACTATGGAATGGAAGATTTTGACCCAAAGATATTTTGCATCATGCTGCGTAGTTTATGGCCCCTGCTATATATGGACATTGTTACAGTTTAATCATTTGAAAATGATTAATGTCTTTGTATTGTGTGTATTTTATTATTCAGCTTCTGAGTCTTCTGGAGATGGATGACACGGCCAGGAAGTTCAAGTTAGCCTACAAGCTGGAGCAGGTCGCCTCCACCATGGCAGGGGAGGTCTGACAACATGTACACAGGCACCGCACCCAGCTTTCACACTCCAAAAATACAACGCTGCATGTACATGTAGATTTAAAGCAAGCTCAATGTGTGTACTTGTTGTGACATCTGACATTCTGTTGGTACAGTTACAATCACGGTAGATCTGCAACACTTAAAGAAGAAATATTATTTTTTTGACAGCACAGACCTTTTTAATCCACGGCTACTGTTGCATGATAAAGACATTGTGATGTTGATATATTTGTCGTATGCATGCAACTGTTTTAATGCCAGATTTAACTGCTATACTTGCAGTTCAAAATATGTTGCAAGATAATTTTGTATTTTCAAGGCAGTCAACCACATACAATCTGACCTTTAAAAAGAAAAGTACATGTATGTGTCACAAATATATGATGTAATAATGTTTTTTTCAGATAAAGGGATAAATATTTAACTGGTTGTACTTAATTTTGAGTTTAAGATTTACCACCAAAATGACTACAAAATATGTAGGCAAAGGGAAGAAAATGTGTAAACGTGTGCATGTAATATTTACTGTTCCACAGAGCATGCTGTACCAATATACCTAGTTGATTCAACACAAACTGTCCATGGTAATCAGTGGGAGGGCTGCTTGGAGTGCAATTTAACTGGGTGTCAACATACCTGTTCTCCTCACATATTTTTGCTTCCGTATAAAGATGACTTGAAGTGTGTTTACTGCATAAAATGGAGTCTTGAGCTGCAACTGTACATGTACTTACTAGTATTACAATGGGTAGACGATTTTTCAGCTTTAAGGGAATAGTAAACTTGTATACAGTCACTGAGTTAACATCCTCATAGACATGGGTCATAAACCTGTTAGTGACTGACTGTAAGTGAGTAAGTGATAAAGAGATGTTTTGATGTGAAGATAAAGAGCAGAGACGTGGAAGTTTATTGTTGCGTTGCAACGCAAGTTACTGAATTTGGTGCCATCCAACAGCGTTTGATTGTAGTGAGTGTCGTATGTATGGTGGTGTAGGATAAAAATGAACTATCAAAAGACTTGTTTGTAATTTCCAGTTCTAAGGACCTTTTAGAACATACAGTAGAAAAGAAGTGTCGCATAAAATGGTTCAACTACTAATTCTGTTGTATCTGACAGTATTGACAGTATTTGCTTAATATGCTTCTTGAAATGTATATGAGAGCTTGTATGATGCTGTTGAAGGTACATGTAGCAGCATTTGATACTGACTGGTAATTGTCAAGGTGTTCCTAGTAACATGCCAGGTTTTATCCAGGAAAAAAAACTATTGTGAAAAGTACATGTAAGTGGACTTCAGGTTCAATGGACATGTTCATGTCTCCGAGGCTATACGCGTGTACGTAAAATGGTAACTTCACTATCAAAGCAAATGACTATTTTTGTAAATGAAGAAAATTGAATGTAATGTAGAGGAAGATGTGTGTGTTAGTAGAGAATCTGTAAGTATAGGACAGGTTTTACTGTTGGAATGTTGTTGTTGTTTTTTTTCGACACTGGTTTAGCTAGCAAATGTGTTGAGAGCTGTTTGTAAGAAGGGTTTGCTTCTGTTTGGTGTTTGTAGGTTACATGTTTTTGTGTACAAATGTGTCACTGCCAGCCTATAGACGTGGATGGGCAGACAGCTTGCTGGTGAAAACCTTTGCAATTAATTCTCTTGTTAATAACACTGGAAGGAATGTGCCAATTTTTGTAAAGTTGGAAACTATGGCATCATTTCTTCCTGAAGCTTCTTGGTGTTCAATGAATTGTATGTAAATATTCCAAGGTAACAAAGTAAGGGGGAACATTGCTGAATCTTATTGACTAGGTGTATTTACTGTCGGTATCTGTCAAAAAGCCATCCTTAATGCTTGAGAAGAATACTAAGTTTTCTTTCTTGTCTGCAAGTAGCCTGGGTGCCAGACTATTTCCAGGGCCTACACAGGGCAGTTCCTCAGCTCCAGGGCCAACATGCCCCAAGGAAATTATACCACTATTAGGCCACTGACTAACTCTGGGCCTAGTGTGTTATGGGTCTGGCATCCAGGCTAGCTTGCAAATTCGCCAAGTCACATTCTTAGAGAAAACGATTACTGGAATCAGATATTTATCATAGCCTGGAAGCTGCTGTATGTTAGTAATGTTATGTGTCTTCCTGAAAAAGCTTGGTTTTTTGAGAAAAGAATCATGCACAGAAAGAGGATTAGTTCAGTCTTCTGTACGAATGTTTATTGTGAAAAATAAGTAACAAAATATAGGTTCTTGCAGTCTATGACACCAACACTTTAGGCTGTTGTTTTACTGTTTCAAAGCAGATCAGTTTGTCTTGAACATTTAAACACATTGTTCACTACCTTAAGAGCAAAAATGATACTATCAAATAGACATTGAAATCAGATTAATTGGCACACAAACATGATCATGGTTTGACTAAACATACCATTAACAGAAATATTATGTCTAAAGCTCCAAGTCCTGAATATTTCCACAACTGTGATTCTGGTCTTCCTATGAATTTAGAATTAAAGAGTTAAACCAAAACAAATAAGATTGAAATGTAATTATGATTATAAGATATAAACAATAACATGTATTGGTGTACAAGTTGTTAAAGAAGTATTTATACTGGGGGTGGGATTTTGAGGCAGATACAAAGCTAGCCAGAATATATCGTCCATGCCAAGCAAAAGAGGTAACTGGTATCATATAGGCATTGCAGGGACTGAAAGTACAGTTGTAGATACAGATCTAGATGCAGATTCAACAAAGTCTAGGTAGGGCTGTAAATAGGATGGACCTTATTGGCTGGTGAAGTGGAACATACTATCTGGTGGCTGTCAGTCCTGCACTTTTTAACTACTGAAATGTTTTACTGCAAGAGAGCTGGATGTAATATGTTGATGTGTATTTTTGGTATATTTGATAATGGTAATAAAATGAACTGTTTGCATTCCACATTTTTGCTTTGTGTTCCATCATTGCACAAGAAGAACAGTCGATTTGTGAGGAATCATGATAATTCTAAATGATGTTTTATAATAGTTTATATAGCTTATTAGTCATCGTGCCCATGGCCTGGTGTCCAGTCTATCCTGGTTTAGGACGGCTCTCTCCGGGCGAAACACTCCAGCCAGGCGGTCTGTTGAGCTGGGCGGGGGAAAACTATTAGAGCCCCGAAGACAACCTGTCGCAGCCAGGATAGACTGGATACCAGGCTATCCAAATCTAATATTCCACGTGCATTTTACACTGCCGAGAAAAGGAATGAATGGAACATGAATTTCACATTGATCAATTTTGTATCACCTGACTATGTACATGAAGGTCACATTTGGCTCTAGCTAGGTTGGACCAAGAACCTTACTCTCCAAGCAGAGGTTTGGGGTTGGGGTTACTTTTAGCGTGTTTTTAACTTTTTATTGGGGGTTCTCTTTTGCACGATTTTTTTTTTCAAATAAAATTCAAGTGCAAAAGAGAAACCCCGATATAAAAAAAACTAAAAACGCCAAAAATAACCCCAAACCTCTGCTTGGAGAGTACAAGAACCTTGCTTTGACAATATATTGAATCAGACCAACATGTAATATTCAGGAACACACCATTGCATGCCAATAGTAGGGTATAACAGGTAATTGTTGCTGTTCATGAATCGCTAATAGAAAACACTTTGATAAAGCCTTCCAAGTCACAGTCACAGACGACTAGCTGGCTGTTGTCTTCAGACATCGCTATCTCGTACGGGAACTTCACGCCGCTTTCTCGCGTCGCCACGTGTTCCACGAAGTCTCCATTCACACTGAACTTGGCAATGCGGTGATTTTCTGAGTCAAGTACAAGAACGTTGTCCCTCCCGTCCGTACAGATACCCAGGGGATGGTCCAACTGCCCGTCCCCGCATCCATGAGAACTGAAACTGTTCACAAATCGGCCGTTTGGGTCAAACACATGCACGCAGCTGTTGAAGAAATCGCTCAGGATGATATCGTTTTTACTGTTGGTGGTAACGTGTAGATAGTCTCCCAACTGCTCTGGTCCTTCTCTGTTCAGGGTAGTCAACACCTCACCATTGCAGTTCAGGACGTAGCCTTGCCGATGGGAGGTAACGACTATCCGGCCCAGACTGTCCACAGCTACACCGGACGGATATACGGTCTCTACTGCTCCAGTCATCCGGATGACACCCTTGTCCTTCCCTTGCAGATAATCCAACAAGTGAATGTTTTGGGCGTCGCCTGTGATTACCAAGGTGTCCTTGTCAAACAATGCCACACAGAGTGGCTTATAGCTTAAAGGGATTTTCCTCCTCAATCCCCACGTGTTACTACTGAATACCCTGAGGCACTTGCCCGTGCGGTCAGCTACTATGACCTCTCTGTCTGTAGTCACAAGCACCGAACTTGGCCACCAGCATCCTTCGTCGTCTGTCCCACGTTTTCCAACTCTCTTCACTGGGGTTAGACCTTTTTTCCTGCACAACGCGGGACTGTAGCCTTCATTGCAGTCGGCTTCAGGGTGGAGAAGTCTTGACGTTATTCCCGCTGACACGCGACAAACGTACTCCACAAAGCTGACATGTTTCCCTTCTTGTATTGCACTGAGTTCACCGGAGGACGCCATCATATAAAGGGATAACATGTCTCTTCATCTGTAGCAAGTCGATAATATGACAGAACGATGTCCACTTAATTTACGTTCAAAAAGCCGGAATGCTTTTGCCATCAAGAGTTAAAAGCCGGAACATTTCGCTCGTATATTGGAACCAACCTTCACGCTTACTCAATGGAGAGGTCTCGTTGCAATCCTAGCCGCACACATTGTGATACTTCTAACGGGAGCCTTACGATATCGCCGATTGTTCGGGGGGCGTGGCTAACTGTCAGTAACCACAAATAGGCACCGTACCTGTACCAGGCTGTACACGCCGTGTGTACCTTACGCGCCGCACCGGTACCTATCAATGACTGGTACGTCAACAATCTGAACCTGGTGAATGGCGGGTTCACTAACTGTGACCTTGCCTTGCCCTACCTGTGTGCAATGAAACACACTGTTACGAGTAGACGAAAACATCGTACAGTTTCCTTCTTGGTTTAGTACTGCCCGCCAATTTTTAAATAGATAGTATCACCACTTAGTGGGGAAAGGGTGTGTTCTTTTGTTCCACGTGTGATTACAGTTGTTGTTATGACGTAATGACCGTGTGTCTATGTACAGTACTAGTAGCTATGTACAGTACCTGTCTCGGGCTGTTCTCGTTATGATAGGGGACTCACCTTACGGTCATCACGCGATGTTGCTAAGGACGCATTTTCAAAACAGGAAGAAGCCAACAAACCTAAATACCGCGGGGCTTGGATCATGGCTGCTTTCGGGGATTACCATAATGTTATTCCAAGGAAGCTCCTTGGTTATTCCTATGTTTATGCTCTGCACAGACTGAAAAGGGACCATTTTATTCCCCAGAGAATACATGGGTGATCTATGTCTTCTCTTGTTCGTCCGTTGTCCTCGACAATGGCCTAGATATCACGTTTGGTTCTTTGTGTTTCCGACTGTGGCTCAAAAGTGCTATACCGGCTTTGAAGGTTCTGTTGTGATCTATGAAGATAATGCGCGCCCTACACCCACTGACCTATATTGAAACAGGTGTAACAGAGGTCTTCATGGGAGGTCCGGGGCCCTACCGGCTGCTTAAATTATTCAACGTCAAAAATCTTTGTATCGTGAAGTCGAACGGTGGATATCAATAATAATAATGGAGCGTCCATGGTGGACAGACTAGTTTTGACAGACATGTACACTTCATGGATACAGAAAAATATTCCAAAAATTGTGTTTGTGTGTGTGCGTGTGTGTGTGTGTGTGTGTGTGTGAGAGTGAGTGAGTGAGTGTGTATGTGCGTGCGTGTGTGTGTGTGTGCACGTGTGTGCGTGTGTGCACGTGTGTGTGTGTGTGTGTGTGTGTGTGTGTGTGTGTGTGTGTGTGTGTGTGTGTGTGACGCGAAACCGCATCATTTGTGTAGCATCTGAAGTTACGCGAACTGAACAACAGAACGAAGTTACATTAAATATATGCTATAGACGCTATATACTTCATCTTCTCCACTTCTCCATGTCTCCGATCATGTTTCAAAGTCGTGACTTTCAACAGCTATTATGTAACAAGTACATCGAAATTTGTAACGACAAAATGTGGGTCTAGTGGAATAGCCACTCCGTTATTCTTTAGCATTATATCCGTATTCGAGAATAGTTTGTGTAGGTTTATGTGAAGCCGCTAGAGGCCCCCAGCGGGCGGTGTGGGAGATGGTATAAAAATGCTCTTGGGAATGAGAATCTGTAAATTCCCATGCACCTGACAGTGGCTGTAGATTTATGTGAAGCCGCTAGAGGCCCTCAGTGGGTCGTGTCAGAGAGGAAAATGCCCTTGTGAAGGAGGACCTGCAGTATTTGTCACATCCTAATACACCTGACAGTGGCTGTTGATGATGGTTAGTTAAATGATGACTAGACACGCATTTTTTATAGTTAATTCGTGTGTTTCTGGCTTGTACATACACATACAGAGAAAGAGGACGAATAAAACGAGGTATGCTGTTAGGACGACAGCCTCTTTTCAGTAAATTTCGCCGTCGGAGTCCTCATCCCAACAAAATCATCCTCACGTACTTTCTTGCTTTTCTCTCTCAGAGTTGCCAACAATGTCTAATATAATAAGAGTGAAATATTCGATCGGAGCCAAAATTAACCTATTTTTCCCGCCAACCGATGAGTCCGATGAATTTAAAGCATCTGATCTCCTGTCCTGTAACAGGTTGTCCGTGGCAGGAAGGTTTACCACCTGCCATATACACCGTGTGTTCCCACCTGTACATACCTGCATGTTTGCATGGCACACACCTATGTAGGGCACATCGTTCTCTGAAGTGGCCTTATCAGACCAGTTCGGCCCGGTCTCATGTGTGTCACCTTCGACTTTATTTCGTAAGACATGACCGAGCACACGTGGTCTTCACAGACCAAGGACTGCGGACTCTGAATTTAGATCAGATGATTTTTTGTCACGATGGCTAAAGCACATAGAGTTTGGGTTGGGATTCGAAGAACGCTGTTGGCCGCTGTTTGTTTAGAAGTTCTCACATCGATGCTGTTTGGGGTCGACGCCTTCAAGCTGAAACACCCGCTTCTCATGGTGGCAAGGTGAGGCTCAGGGGGTGTGTAGTGATAAGGGAGGGGTGGTGAGGAGGTGGGGTGGGGGTGGGCATCAACGTACAAGTAGCTTCGACCATGGTTCAGAAACGACTGGACAGAGCAGAAGTTGATCAAATAGACATGCCTGGGGAGTGCTGTACAGATAAAGATACAGGTACAGGGTACAGGAGTACGGTACAGATCAGGAGCGGCAAAACTGTGCTCCTCAGTTCAATATAATAGCGGAACAACTGGCCCTGGCATGTTATCTATCTATTTGGCCAATTTCTACTCTTCTGAAGCCTGGCAGAGGTTTTTGTGTGATGTTCCATAATCTCAAGATTTTTGTAGTACTAGAATACAACGGAGTAGATTGAATATGTGCTAAACAGAATTCTCTCACTTCCTTTCTCATTCAATACCGGAAAGGTACATCATCGTACGTGTATGTCATATAACTACGAAAGATTGCGATACAGTCAAGATGTATTGCATCAAGGAGTTTTGGTTGCATCGACGAAATATCTATGCCTTATCAAAACATTGCGCTTCACTGAGTAGACAAACATTAAACAGTTAGAAGGGTAATCTCTTTTGGGCGTTGTCGCCGGGTTTCTAGTAAAATGGTCTACAAAAGCCTCTGCAATGTAAACGGAGAACTGCTGTGGACAAGCAATGTAATGACTTTCCAATATGCTAGCCTCTACTGAGAGGACACTCAGTAGAGAATAAAATCTCTACAAGAGGACACTCAGTGTGACCTGGTGGAAGCTAACAGCAAATTTCTCCAGTCATACATTTTACATCTTTATAATACTGCCAGATTCTAGTCTGCATATTTACGTACGCCAACCAACCTTTTTTTTAACCAATCAGTACCGACCTTTCATTTAACTGCTTACATCAGCTATTTGATTCTACACAATAGCAATTTTGTGATAACCTTTGCACCAATGTCAGGCTTTGAATGGCCAGCAAACATGCCCCAGTTCAGTTATTAAATATCAGCTCCTACGTATACATTATATAAGTTATTTATCATCATATAACCTGATTTAAGTACTCTCAGTAGTCTGGATGCCAGACTGTTCTCATTGGTTAAAGCCGCAGACCCTGAAAATCTAGTTGAGTCTTACTAGGGGGTCTATGGTAAAATTTCCTCGGGGACATGTTGGCCCTGGAGCCGAGGAGCAAGTCTTAATAACACCTTGCCTGGCATCCGTCTAGCACCCAGGCAACGTATCGACCTTCCCTCGGAAGGGGACAGTGAGAGATTGTGTAATACAGGCTACGATGTGTACACTGCTTGTCGGAACATGATACCCCGATGTATCATTTGATAGCTCAAATGACCGGCTAATGAATTGTAGTGCCCTCTTCATCTGTGCCCCCTGTGACGTCACACGATAGAGGAGCTAGAGACAGGCCTCGGTGCATACTACGGTCATCACGAGGCAAAACTAAACGCAGGCTATACATGCCGGATGGACATGGATAGTTGTTCGTTGTATAGTTGCTTTCTGTAGTATGTATAGCCGGTATAACCGCCCTTCGGCGTAACACACCAGCTAGCTATATTTACAATGAACGACTTGTTACACCTAAGCTTTGAACATGGCATCTAAAGTATGGATCTTTGCTAGCCCCTGTTGCACAATTACTCGCTCAAGTAATGCATTGATCACTAGTATACTCTACTCTCCTGAGGTGTAGGCTTCAGACTTGTGCCGTATTTTTATTTCGCGTTTTTACAACATGAATCACGTGTGCGATAATGTTTTGAAAGATGCGACGCTATGCAATGCTGTGACACTATTTCTCGTGATGATGTTATAAACGTCATTGCTGATGTCACTTCGGTGTACGTGTGTTTGTGGGTGCGCGCGTTTTCATAATGTACCTTTCATATAGTGTTCATACAATGTGTAATATGAATCCTCACACCAACATTAGCGTCTACGTAATGTCTGTCTTTATAAAACTCAAATGAATGTACAATCCACTTTACGCCGTCCCACTCTGACGCCGTCCAAAGATGAACCTATAGATGTCGACTACAAACATGGTGTCATAGTCTGACCTGTTTGCCCGAGTTCTGACGTATAGTGTAAAGTTCACGGCTAAAAGTAGAACTAGTGCCTCACTGAAGTCGCTATTGTCATCCGTGCTCTTTTTAAAGTCTTGGCAGCGTATACGTAAATGTCAGCGACTCGGGCACAAGAAGCATCTGTACCGTCCCAAACTTCTCGTACCGTAGCTGACATTTCTGCCTTACGTTACATCATGTCAGACCCCAGAATTTTTGTAATGGACGATCGATCCGACAATATCCGTGTTGCCCGTAAGGCTTCCGTGGAACTAGGACAAACCCTCACTAGCATGACTGCTGAGCTCGGGGTCAGACGGGACTGGTTTTGGTAGGTGCACACTGATCGTTCTTGTATTAGTTTTTCGCCGTTTAGTTTAAATTTGTAACCGTTCCCACTACAATGATATGGACATGACTTTGCCATTGACATACACAGTTCTGACTACAGTCATGTATTATTTCCTCTTCTGAGATTCAGTGGCAGTCTCGGCAGAACTAGCGCCACGTTTAATAGCTACGGCCAGTACTAGCACTGATCATGAATATACAAAAAATAGTTACCGTTATCTTGTTGTGATCAGTTTTTTTGCCCAACCTTTGACCAGATTATGAAATGGTAGCCTAGATTGCCACCCATTGGCGACCTTTATTGATCGTAAACTACGCAGTAGTTGCGTCCCGCAATGAAATTGACTTTTATTGAACCGTGACTCTGTTTCGTGCATAACTTGGTATTGATAAATGTTCAAATTGGGATAAAGGCAAAAGTCGAGACAGCCGTACACACTGTTGTGTTTCTTTGCCGTTTTGTATTAACAGATTATTTCTACATAACATGAAAACGCTTTTTGAACACAGCTTTTCATCTGTTCTCTGTGCACTTACACAGAGAACAGATGGCTTCTTACTCTGCCAAAACAGCACTGAGCGGTTAATTTTGGATAATCTCCAAGCAGATCTTTTGGTGGCTGCAGGACAGGACAGTACGCTACCTGTTTGGCCTTTTGGCTGGATACCAGTACAACTTGTGAAAGCCAGATAAAAAAAGCCTAAAACGAGTCAAAAACTAGCCGAAGTCTTAACCTCTGCCCGGAGAGTAACTTTTGGAAGGCCTGCGACCGTACACTAGTGCGGGACCGATGTGCTTTGAGGCTTCGGAAGCGGCTGGAAAGAATAACGTTAGACAATTGGTTATGTATATATACATAGACAGATAACATGCCATGGGAGTTGGTCCGCTTAAAAACGGGTGCGACAAATGTACTCCTCTAGCGGACCAACTCCCCTAGCATGTTCTTTTTTGGCCAGTTTCTACTCTTGCCACTCCCCTTCCGAAGCCTGGTAGTAGAGGCGACAGTACAGGACCGAAAACCACGCCTGGCTCCACGTGATGCGGACATGCAGGTGAAAGTGAGAAATGCCCTATTCCTCCCTCCTGGGATGTACAAATATTTACACTGTGACGTCAATAGGACATAGGACGACCTATGGCCCCATTGGCTGATAAAGAAGGTGTGTCATGTTTGACCAGTGTACGTTACATCAGGTGCATGTGTTTCCCTACCCCGGCTATATAAAACTGCTGCTATGATACATGTAAGGGTTAGGTCAGAAGTTGCAATTCTTACAAGGCTTTTGCTGTGTAGTCATAGCAGGGTTGTAACTTTTATTGACTTTTTAATATAACTAGTTAACTGTTAAAGTTATCACTTGGAAATGAAACAGTGTTGTGTTTAAATAGAGCCTGTAAACCATCACAAAAACTTCAAATTCTAAATCCTCCTTGATACGATGTATGAACAAACGAGAGGGTTGAGCTGAAGCCCAGTGGTGCCACCTTCAAAGTAAACTTGACCTTTACTGAGAGTGAGGGTTCTTCTCAGGGTGATTTGTGCGAATTTTATTGGCCGTAGCACCTGTTACACCCTTGATGCCAGGGGCATTGTGGGAAGGGGACCGTCCGTTCACATCAGTAGGGATGCTGGGTTTACTGCCATATCCGGGGGTTTCCCCCAGATTGGACGGTCACAATTTTCACAATTTAAATAGTTTACAAAAATCACGATCTACAGCGCTATGAAATGTAAACAGCTAGATAACGATGTTGTAGGTGTTAGGCCATCATAAACGTCTGTGACGTTGCAATCCCTCAGTTTGAAAATATGACAAGCAAACTTAACTAACGTTACATCTGATTGAAGGATTTCTTGCATTGCATAAAAGTTGGAAGTTGAGTTTATACGTATGCTAGAGAGTTTATACATGTAACAGCGTTAACTTACCATTGGTCTTACTCTCTAGAGTTAACGGGCTCGTTAACAATATTCTGATAATAACTCATGATAAAGGTCTTGTGAAAGAGCAATATCGTTGCAACTAACAAACAATACCGAATAAAACAGCATTTCTTGATAACAAAAAGGGACTAATTATCAGGCGCTTTCAATGATTTTGTGATGGCATAGACTTCTGTTTACTAATCAAGATCCCACCCGGATATCTATTGAGCGGCCCCTAAGCGGAAGCGCTGGGTAAACATGGCGGTGTGAGGGTACGTGTCTCTCGGAGACGGACCGACGTCTTTTCCTCCACGTGTCCCCCTTTGCATTCCTCTGCCTCTGTCATGAAGACTTGGCCGAATCGGTCAGATAGGGATCCATTCCTAGATGTCTGCTAAGCTGTCTATCCGTCCAATGGACGAGGAAAAGGCGGCGTCTGACGTTCCAAGAGCGGGAAATGGCGGCGCGACTTCGTTCCATACAGCGGCGGCCGGGGGAGAAGGGGACCACGGCCCGACTGGCCCCACATCGCCTTCGGGGTTTTACGAGATCGCTTGGTAAGACTTCCTCCCAAGCTCTGTATAACGTCCACACTTGTGTTTTGATACACGACACTGTACCATGTAAATTGGCGTAATTTGGATGTGAGGGGCAGTTAATAATTATCATTTTTGAACTCCCAAGCCTAACGTTAACCGTCTGGAAGAAGGAAGCCCCCCAAAAATTAAATGGCTTTCTTTCCGGATCTCTCGGAGTTTACACTGCCTTCCCAGGGTGAAAAGGGGTTCAGAATAAACACTACAGTAGCAACACACGGGTGCTCTGTGTCCGGGGCAAGTCAGCTGTAAAACCTGAAGGGTGCTAAAGTCTATTTTTGGTGGCAATATTTCGTAATCTTACGGTCGAGAAGTGACCGGGTGTCATTTGCTTGTGTATACTTGTGTCAGGGCAATCAGAGGTCGAAATTGTTGTAGTTTGTTTGTTAGGCTGCTAAGACCCTTGTAAAATACACGGTAGGCTTTAGAATTGTTCACAATGGAGGGTTATTCTACACTGCTATTGCCATCAATCAACAGCAATAGATTGTCAGTCAACTGTTAAATGTCAGTACCAAGGACATGTCAATAATGCACCAAAAATGCACCCTTTTGACTCTGTGGCCTGTTTTGTTTGCTTCAATATGCACAAGTAGAGATCGCAAAATTGATGTGCCTTTTTTTTTCTATTTTAAAAATGGACGTGCCCTCAGCACACATTCCATAGTGAAGAGTTGTCAGACTTAAAACAGTAACAGTTACTGTTTTAAGTCATTTGTGCTTCCTTGGTTTTACAAGAATGTCGTAGGAGTATATTGATCACCAGAATGATATAACCGGTCTGGACTCCAAGCCCCAGCTCTTGAACGAGCCCAGAAATGAATGACTTTATTGTCCTGTTAATCATTACTGCCCCTCCCCATTGACCACCCACATAGGGTTATATTAATTATGCAGAAGGTAGTAATCAAGTTTTAAATACAGCGCTAATCACTGATGATATCTCTCTACATCATCATTTCAGTCAGATTGCCTGGGCTGTCCAGCCATTCTAATATCACTAATCTCCAAGCAGATCTTTTGGTGGCTGCAGTACAGTATCAAATTGACAAGACAGCATCAAATTGACCAGCCAGAATCCAATACGTAAGAAAAGATACAATTAACGTTAACGGTACCAGTTCAAATAAAAAAAATCTAGTAAAAAATATGGCAAAGCCAAAACCTCTGCCAGTACCAGTATTATCACTACTGCATATACTTGGCTATATAGTTTATCACTTTAGTCATTACACAACAATTCTCATAGAAAATCGATCTCTACTACTGGATAAATTACGGACAGTACTTCCAGACGTTTCGAGTGACATTGTCACGTCACATCCACCACTCTTCTTCAGCGTCCCTAATGAACTCAAACACAGCAATCCATACAATAGCAATTGCAATCGACCCAGCTCTGTGTCTTTCTATCTCTACTTATTAAACTTAGCTGTTAGAGGTACACCGTAGATCCTAAAACCTTACACAGAAACTGTGTCATGTACACAGCAAGGCCATACTCTTTCAGAGTGACAGTCACCTCTGTAGGTATATCCCCAAACTGTGCCAGTTATATCCTAATCATGGCATGCCCTAGTCCTGTGGATTCATCTAGGCCAGAGGTCAAACTATCACAGCCTGTTGATTATAACCTCAGGAAGGTCACAGAGCCTAGACGTGGCAATACCATTGTTGCTACTGAATCATGTTATTCTTCTACCATTACCCTCAATGAAGCAGTCTGTAAACCAAGAGTTTAAACTCTTTTTGAAAGTTTTATTGGCTAATTGTATGTTTAGTAAGTCATGTGTAGCTTGGAGTCAAATGAAGTTTTGTTACAATTTGATAGAAAGGTAGTCAATGATTTTGAACCCTCTTTGAAAGCTCTATTGCCTGATTGCCTGTGTATTGAATTGAGTCATGTGTAGCTCAGAGTCTACTTTTTGTTGGAGTTTGAGAGGGAAATTCAAATGCCCAATTATTTTTGTGCCTTCTATTCAGACTAAGTGAAATTTTGACATTGACATTTTACATACCAAGGGAATTCGTGTTTCAGATTCAACCAGGGTGTTGTATCTTCTAGAATGTGCTATGGAAAAAAATTGAACAATTTTTCTGTGAATTCTGTCAATGCCACTGTCCCCACTGAGCACCTTGTTTTCAAATATAGAAGTCTGATGCAACATTGACTAGGAGTAGGGAGAACAAGCACGATCGAACAGAGGCTTACGTAAAAGTAGTCACGAGTAGGCCAAGCATCAGGCGGAACTGTCTTTAGAAAACGGATTTATATTTCTGCTCTATTTACTCTTGACCAACAGCTAAGTACACAGGCTCCCCTGTATTGGTGTGAACTGGAGCGGGGCCTTGTTAAGGTAGAGCACCTTAACAGGGTTACTGTTTTTGCAGTTCTGCAGAGCACAATGTGACTCGTGGCTCTTGACTGAAAACATTTTCTTTTCTCTTCATTGTACTTTCCAGTACTCTCCAAGCAGATGTTGTTGGGAAAATTACGACCTTATCATAATATTATGCCACGTTTTTATCTGCCCTCCTCAACTCTTCAAGAGAGAAAAAAAGAGTTTGCTGGAAAAACTGTGACCTTATCATAAGGTCACCATTTTGGACATCAACATCTGCTTGGAGGGCAGACACAAAATGGAGTATATGATCAGAAGGTCACAATTTTGCCCAACGACCTCTACTCGGAAAGAACTTTCAGCAACTTGTTTGATGTTTGTGAAATAAAGACTTCCAACACTAACAAAGTGTTGGTAATGCACTTTTCTGTGATTCTCAATTTCTATTAGGATTTTTCCTTGATCAGAGCAGATCTTAGTAGATAACCCAGTACCATCATTTACTATTGAAAAACATATATACATGTATGTTGCGTCACTGAATGCCCATTTACGTAGGCATACCGGTACATCAGGCTTGGTACATGCCTGTAGGCGCCTGTTGTTTTGTAATTGCTTTCTCTGTCCTTGCTCTGTGGCAGGATATTCTATATCGATTTCAAGCTACAACAGTGGTCGAAATACTTTTTTTCAGTACTCTGCAATATTGCAGAAGAGTCAAAATTTTGTTCTGCAATTTGGAAATACTTTCTGCAAATACACAAGCCTCCATATTACAACCTTTCTGCAAATACACAAGCCTCCATATTACAACCTTTCTGCAAATACACAAGCCTCCATATTACAACCTTCTCAAACCAATAATTCCTTTTTTACATCACATATAGCTTTGTAAATCTGTACAGTAGCATTACTGGACTGCAGGAGAATTTCAGGTTTATAAGCATAAACTATGGATTAATATGCAAATTAGTGAAGACAATTTTTTGGAAGTCCAAAAGGAAACAAAAGTTAGACAAGTCAAGACAAGGATGATGCAAATTAGTGAAGAAGCTCCTGTTGTTTCAGAACAGTCTGTCCCTGGGGCCTGGAAGTTTTAGTTTGCTAAATTGAAAACTAATGAATCTGGAGCCTATTTTTCCTTCTGCAAAATTGCAGATTGTATAATTTTTTCTTCTGCAATCTTGAAAATCTATCTGCAGATTGCAGACTGCAGGCAGGTATTTCGAACACTGTACAAGTTACAAAACATCCTGAAAAAGATTAGATACTTGTGTCACAACTCTTTGTCAATCTGTTGATGAATCCTCCTTTACTTGTTGTCCCAAATAAATTCTCCTGTGTGATAAGGGAGAGGAATGTTGTCCCCAGGAAAGATAAAGATGTTTTGATGTCATCATCCCGGGTAACTACGTCACGGCCTTCCAATTATTGCAGATAACTTCTGATAAGGAACAATTGCTGTTTATAGTTGCCAACCTACATTGTGTGTGTTTGTCATAATGGTTGTTTGAAGACTATGATTTGTATCTATGTCGGAAGGTTTCAGACACGAATACGGTGGACCTGCAGCACAATGTTGCCTGTCTGTGGTAAAGGATTTAGGGCTTGAAATATTTTATTCTGCATACATTGAAAATTACCTGCACCAGACAAATTTTACCTGCACCACCCAGAATTTAGCAAGTATTATATGGATCACACTAAAAACTGTGAGAAACCATTGCCATTACTTCTTTTACACTTCACAGGTGGTAACATCAAATAAAAATCCACATACACCTAGTACGTTCGTATATAAACCCAGTACATGGTCATGGACCAGTACTGCTTAAGTGCAGGTAGACATCAGAAATACCAGCACAGCTCCAATTTTACCTGCACTTACCTGCGTAATATGCAGGTGATATTTTGAGCCCTGGCTAATCTCCAAGCAGATATTGGAAGGCAAAATTATTGCGTTTTCTGAAGACCTGGTTTTGTTACGAATGGCCATCATAACATAAGCGAAAATGGCAGTTTGAAAAATATGCATTTCCAATATCTGCTTGGAGATTGTCCTATCACCACAGATGAGCCAGCTAAATGGCCCATCATGTATGTGATTGAGACATACACAGTATGCATTGTAATTAAGACCTGTCCAAGGTGGGGGAAGGCATATAGGTACAGTTGGGGGAAGAATTCTGTGTGTTCTTCAGACATTACCTCTCACACCAAACATGTTCTGTAAAAATTGGGGGTGGTTTTTCATAGGACATTTGTAATTTGTACTCCTGTGATTGCAAGAAAATTGAAATTGTATGGAAGAAAAAGTAGTTGTATGGGTGATATTGCTGGTACATCTAGCTGTAATTCTTCTAGTGGCTACAGTATTTCTCACTATACCTTCCAATTATTTTTTGTTCAAATTAATACCAGATATTGGAAGGTTTGCCAGTTTTCAGTAGTTTTACGGTTCCTTGGTGCTATTTTATGAAATACATATGTATTAAAGTGTACCATTGCCAGGGAATGACCATAACTGACTGTTAATGTCTGTTGAATATCTGCTGTTGGGGAATATTTTGCTGTAATTTAATTATCTGGCGTTGATCTTGACTCCCTAGTGGCAGCTTC